GTACTGCATCCGTCATTTTTTAGGAATGCTCTACATGAGACACGCAAATATCCCTTCTATGAGCAGATTGTCAAATCTTTATACGCAGACTATCACTGCCAGCTAGATATTATGAGATGGATACTTCAGATAACAATTACTAACAATACGCCATTTTCTGCTATTCATTGATGAGGCCTCGTTATCTAGAAAGGTATTTTCAACACTCCCACGCCTGGACTGAAAGTAATCTGCACGTCACTGACCCTTGTAAACATTAAAAATTATTTGCTTTGAACATCTAGTAATCTAAGGTATCCTTTGCGACTGCCTTTTGGGTCCTTCTCTGTTGCCAGAATGTCCGACCGGAGCAAGATACCATGTCTTCTTGGAACCACGTGGTTCTTCATTAATAGCACGTTGTTCTCCTCATCACGCAGAGGGATACTGTTTTATGCATGACGATGCCTAGTTCACCTTTCCACCGTGATTCAACACTTCCTGAAAGCCATATCTCCCGGATGGTGAATTAGACGAGGTGAAGTGTACTGGACCTAAATTCACTAAACTTCTTCTGGGAAACTTCTGAAATCATGGATATCCGAAATATTTATAGACATTCTCTTTCTTTCACAGTTGAAAGCTCAGCTTTACGCATTTCTGACACTTAACAGCCATGCAGCTTTATGTTCCGCTGTAAACATTGTTCATCTTGATTGGTACAGGTACAGGTAAAAGTATGGGGGCACCAGAGATATACCATAGGTCAACTAGTAATGCCTTCCCATACTATCCCTAAAACAATTCAAAATTGCATGCATTATAAGAGCTCAACAAAAAAAACTGTTGAGTTCCACCGAGGAGATGAGCATCTGAAACTTCCCAAAAGGTCTAGAGTTAATTTGTTAGCGTATATCGTGACACATCACCTTTCACCTCGCATCCATTAATTAAAAATACGGTTTTAGGAGAGATTGCAATAGAATTTGAGATTCACAAATTAAGTTGAGAACATTTTTGACGTAACAAAAAAAGCATATAAACCAAAAGCATAACTGACAATAATGGAATAAGAACTGGGTATTCAGTGTTTTTAAATAATCAATAAGCGTCCACGAGATCATATCATTTGAGAATAATATCAAAAACGCAGTGAATTAATAATCTGAGAGTTCAGGGAGTTTAGAAAGTTTATCAGCTTTACCAAAGAAAAAGACAAAGAAAAAGAGAGAATTAAATTCTGATCTTATGCAGTGAAGAAACAATATGACCTCGCTGCCAGCATATTCAATTCATATCCAACGAATGCAAGTTTTTAGCATAGTATGTAAACCATAGCATGAATTACTAATTCTAGAGAGACCATGATTAGTACACGAAATAAAGTTATAAAGATAGTTATGAAATTGAGAATATAAAAAAAAATATTGAAAAGAAATCAACACAATTTAACAAAATCGCTAAAAATAATATGTCGGAGTGGATTATTACAGTTCATAAGTGGAATTCTTTTAAACATATTCGCAGGATGAAAAAAGTACGTTGAATTTATGCAGCATGTAGGAATTTATGCTTGACCAAGATCTGCTCCATAGGAAGAGAATCATTTCATATTTATTTGAAACTTAGAATACTGATGTTTATCTTTAATTAGAAACTTTTAAATACCAATAAATCAGTTTGTGATGATTTTTATGTGATTATCATCAGTTAAGAGGATAAGAAAGGATGATGATTAGGAGTACCAAATTCCTCTCATATACAGAAGACGGTGTCTGCCATATTTCTTACCTGGAGATACGTCGGGAAGGGCTTCTTGAAGGATTTTACAGTTTATGAACACCTTGTATATAATTTACTATGTGATTTCTGTTTTAGACTGCCCTCTAAAGTTAAAGTTGGTTTTAATCCATAATTGTTAAAACAAACAAGATACTCAAGTTTCTAAAAGTTAAGCACACACTGCAGTTGAGCGTCTGCTTCAATGAATGAATTTTATTTTAATTTTAGAAGGGTTTCAGGAGAGAATATGAAAATATGAACTAAACATATAGTAGTTACTTTGCATAAATAAGTATGTTAGACATGGTTGATGACGACTCCGTTTTGAAGCCTTAGTTTAGTTTAACTGTTGACAGGAAACTTTTGAATTAAATCTAATTAAGACTAGTTTTTTCTTGATTAAAATTTAGATTCTCAATGCTGACGTGTCCTTTGTTTTCTTTTTGTTTTAGACTACAGTTTTTATATTATCTGTTGTTATATTAAAAACGCCATTGTTTTCCGTCTTCTTGGTTTCCTCCTTATTGAATTTTTTTTTTTTTTTTTTTTTTTTTTTTTTGTACAGCCGTATTAGGTCAGATTTGTTTCTAGTATGAGTTTAATTTATTATTATTTATTGACCCTATAATTTTGAAAAATTTTCAAAACTTACTAAAACTCATAAAATTACAAAAAAAAAAAAAAGACTCAAAATGATAAAATTCATCCAGAAATTATTTCTGAATAGCGGTAGACTATATAAAAATTTGAGAGTTTTCTGTGTGTTATAATAAAGAAATGTTGTACTAAACTAATGTTACAGTAAAAATAATATAATAAAAAATCTTATAATGTTATAAGTACCAAATGTTATGGTGGTATCCAAAATTAATTAATGATGCAATATTACCATATGTGCCCAATCAACACTTGATCTTAAACTAATATAAATGCATTGCGTTGTATTGAATGCAATAAACCGATTTTAAAATGATGATAAATAATATATTCTTTTAATCTATTACTAGCAAATCAGAATAACAATTGTGCTTACTCCTTACTTGTATAGCGCCAATAAGACATATCACCTGTTTCACATGTAATTACTTTATTTATGTTTTTAGCAGCTACTAAATTCATTTTCAAGATTATGTACATATTTCGAAAGAGACAATACAGATTCCACCATCATTTTTACTGTCCTTGCGAGTTCTTTTCATAGCCAAATTACACACAATCATGAGACACGTGTCTATCCGTAAAGATCCTGCTAAATAAACTTTCTACGAAACATTGAACGGAAAAATCACTTCTGCTGATCTTTTCTTGAATCTATGAAAATTATTTTATAAACATGAAGAAGCTGTTCCTAGCTTCTGCCTAATTCATATTTAGACGACAGAACGTGGCGAACACACAACGGCAGGACGAATTCGTAACCGAAAACATCGTTCTTTGATGAATGAAAATACTTGCCTCGGAATGAAGTTAATCGAACCATTCTCTGTTGTTTTGAGCTCATATTTCTCTTGATAATCCTAGTTAAATTTCCCAAATTGAAGATTTCCACTATACCATTACCGCAGACGGTGCGAAGAAGCGTAGCTGTGAGAGTGAGGCTGAAGCCTCCTTCCGGCTCCGCGTAATGGAAAACCGCACATTGAGTTGATCAATGTTAAACGAATTTCGTTTACTGCGCATGCCCAGGATAGAAGTTGGCGCAAGTACAACTGTGGCTCAATTTTAAAAGAAGATAAATACGGTATACGGCTGATATTGTGTTATCTGGATGTAAACATTCCAGGGTTTTAAAACTTGTCAGGTTGTAAGTTGATTCACTACCTGTAAACTGTAACGCTAATTGTAAACTACGCAGATTTTGGTTTAAGAAGGATTACAAAACAGGAAAATCATTACAAGATATATTAGTTGAATGCTTATTCATTATACTTCTGAGGAATAAAAGCAATTGAGTATTTACCATACGTTCCATTCTTATTTATTTTGGCAAATTAAAGAATAAATCCAGTTTAAATTCCTGAATTTAAGTCAAATAAGTGGGCTTTATTGGAATATTCAATCCTTACATATAAAACAGCTCAAGTATGTGGTCTGATGCCTGCTAGGCATTCAAACTGACACTACTTCCAAATAACCGATATTAAATGTAATGTTTATGAACAAAATAAACCAAAATGAAATGAAACAAAAGCACATGCAATAAGCACAAACAAATTTTCTTAGTATTCCAATTGTAAATCAGTAAAACCAACATGACTAGCAGGCTTGTTGTAGGGTTGCTTATGCCCTCCCTTAGTCTCCAGTATTTCCTCCCACGCCAACGGTACACCGTTGAGTATGCACGGTAAGCGGAATTCGTTAACATTGATCAACTCAATGTGCGGTTTGCCATTACGCTTCCGGCGCTGCAGCCCACTGCCCAATAAAAAACAGGAAAAAAATCGGTTCGGTGAGAATTTATGCGCTCTCGCTCAGCGAACGCGATAAAGATTAATTACTCGCAGTTTAAGGATGAATGCTTACTTTCATACTAACACTTCGTTTTCTTATTTTTCCTTTCCCACTGGCTTGGATAGGATTTTCTATTTTTTCTGTCTTTCTAGACATACCAACCATTACAGCTCCCTGTTTATGAAGATGAATTTGCGTAATAAATACTAGAAAATATTTATATCCAGTTTACTTATATACTTGAATTACAAATAAATAGATTGCCATGAAAATTCATAAAATTTAAAATAATTCACTAAAATCCAAATAACAGCTTTCCTGATTTTCCTCGTGTATAATATAAATACTAGCCAATTTTTTTAGAAAATCTCCACAAAACAATATCTTCAGTCGTTAAGCAGATAAACTTTGAATGCTTTACCATATTCAGTAAATTAGAATATATGTTTTAAAAATTGTATGAAATCATAAATTTAAAAAAAATATTAAATCAAACCTAAAATCTAGTTTGCAAGATGATTCTTTATTTACCATATATAAGTGGCTAAATAAGAAAATATTTTTTAAAAAATGCGTAAATAAAAATGTTCATTAAATATGCATGCAATTACTTAAACCTTTTCTTGCAGCAGTCAGTCATAAACATTATAGATTTTTTTCTGTCGCATTGCATTTAATAAAATGTGTTTTATTTAATTAATTTGTTGTTATCGTGTATTAAATAAATATTTTTATGAAATAAACATAATAAATATTTTGTTTGTAAAACACACATATTTTTTTTACAGTTATCAAATTTATCAGCTTTTCTGAGAAGTGTAAGAATCATTTCGTTTCCCTTTGCAACAAACATGTAAGTAACTTAAAGTTTTTTATGTGCGTCTATTTAAAGGATTTTGTTACACATCACTGAAATCAATCATTCCCTTTCCTAGAATGACACAATGAACACAGAATGACACATTCCCTTTCCTAGAATGACACTATTTTAAATTATGTTTCTGGAAAGGGAAATTTCTCCACTAAAAGACGACATTTATGGAAAAAGTTTTCTTTGTATATTTAAGTAATAACTTCCAAAGTAGGATTTTTTAGGTTGGTTTCTATAAAATGGAATTTACATTAGTCATGAATGTTCTCTGAATATTTTCTTGCGTAAAAATGAATATTGCACAACATCTAAATAGAACTTCTTTCTATAAAGTTAGAAGCAAACAAAAAATTTGTAATTCGTACAGAAATCACTTGCTAACCAATTATTTCAAGTTAACATTAAATGATAAATTTTTCATTGTCTGGCAAACGACACGTAATTTTCGCATAAGACTATAAACACACTGTTATTCATTCTGAGATGGCATGTGGAAAACGTTCTTTTCTAGAATATAAAATCTATTTTCAGGTCTTTCGAGTCATAAAAGGAGACGAAGAAAAAATTACAATCAATAACCATAAATTACACCATATGTGTCTAAACCAGCGGTTCTCAACCTTTTGACTAACGCCTACCATCTAAACAAAAACTGAGAAACATTACTACCACACTACATTTTCCAATGATTATTTTTCAATTTATCAGTAGAAATATTAGTATATATATATATATATATATATATAATATATATTGCCATTTGCCCAAACTATTGGCTATTTGTATTAAATATGCATACATAAAGACTATTAGATTAAAAATTGGTTACCGTTTTAATTATCAAAATTTAAGTTATAATACTAATTCAGAAGTCAAACAACAAAAATCAGCGTTAATTTTCAAAATTTTCACAGGACTAGTTTCGATGGTTTTACCGAACCACCATCCTCAGCTGCAAAACCGCAAATGAACAAGATAGGAAATAATGATTAGATAAGATAAGAAAGCCTAGACAAGAATAAGCAAGTGGCGCCATCTGTTGGTGAAACTAGAACTAAAACATAATTTCTTTAAAGGCCGAAGGCAAATTTGGATTGGAATTAGGATCGTAAACTAGAACAGAAAGATTTTTATGAATGTGAAATGCTTCTAGAAAATCCAGTTCTCCAATGGAAGATGTTTTATGAATAATTTTGGCAGCAGAAAAATTGAAAGTGTGATTTTCGGACCAACAATGTTGAGCAACAGAAAACTTCTGTGTTTCCTTTTTTCTAACATATGCCTCATGTTCCTTGACGCGAAGTTTTAAGGCTCTCTCTTAGTTTGGCCAATGTAAATTAAACCACACTGGCAAGGAATCCTATAAATACCCCAGGAATTCATATCCGGAATGAGGTCTTTGAGTATAGAACTCGGAATTTTATTGATGGGAGAATAAACAACCCGAAAGTTAAATTTATGCAAAATATGTGCAACTTTATAGCTAATTGATGGAAAGAATCTTTTGATGTAAAATCATTATTCACCAGTGTCGCAGTGGAGGGCGCATTAAGATGTCTAGAAACCAGACTTCGCGAATTTCATTTCTCTTGCATCGAAATTGATGAGCTAATTTCTCTCACTCAACTCTGTTTGAAACAAACACATTTTGTTTTCCAAAATAAATATTACAAGCAAACTGAGGGATTAGCGATGGGAAGCCCCCTCAGTCCCATCTTGGATGATATCTACATGCATTATTATGAATCAAAATTGTTTGAAACTTTAAACTTCCCGGCATGGTTCCGCTACGTAGACGATACTTTTATCCTGTTTGAAGGTAATAAAGATGATTTAAATAAAGTTCTTTCAACAATGAATTCTATTGATCCTGCTATTCAGTTCACTTTTGAACTTGAGACTTGCAATTCTCTTCCGTTTCTCGACATTCTGGTCACACGTAACACATTCAACTTCAATACTACGGTTTACCGTAAACCTCCATCGGTTTGCCTTCCACCACACGTTAAATCATGTCATCCGACTAAACAAAAGTTAGCTTCATTTTATTCCTATGTTTTCCATGCTCTTCAAGTTTGCTCCTCCAAACTAGCTCTTGATGAAGAACTAAATTATTTAAAAGCAATAGCTATTGACAGGAGATTTCACCCAACATTATTAATCAAGCGGTTAAAAAATTCTCATCTCAACACACTAAAAGGCACGCTCTTGTTTTAGGAGATTATAAAAATTCTGTTGTCATTCCCTTCTTTCCATCAATTAGCTATAAAGTTGCAAATATTTTGCAGAAATTTAACTTTCGGGTTGTTTATTCTCCCATCAATAAAATTCCGAGTTCCATACTCAAAGACCCCATTCCGGATATGAATTCCTGGGGTATTTATAGGATTCCTTGCCAGTGTGGTTTAATTTACATTGGCCAAACTAAGAGAGTCTTAAAATTTCGCGTCAAGGAACATGAGGCATATGTTAGAAAAAAGGAAAAAAGTATCCAAATATACATAAATTCGGAAATTCTCTCGGTAAAATAATAAATCTTGTTAGGCTAGCTGCGGGCCACAGAAAAGCAACTTACGAGCTGCATGCGACTTGCAGGTCATCAGTTGGCCATCATTTCCTTAGCAAATCTATATAAATTTAGCTTCTCAGTAAATATACTGGTGCTTTTAGACAGTGTTAAGGCAAAAGTTTTGGTTTATGAGAATTTTATATGAACTACTATAGTCTTCTGTTGCTCAACATTGTTGGTCCGAAAATCACACTTTCAATTTCTCTGCTGCCAAAATTATTCAAAAAACATCTTCCATTGGAGAACTGGATTTTCTAGAGGCATTTAACATTCATAAAAATCTTTCTGTTCAAGTTAACGATCCTAATTCCAATCCAAATTTGCCTTTGGCCTTTAAAGAAATTATGTTTTAGTTCTAGTTTCACCAACAGATGGCGCCACTTGCTTATTCTTGTCCAGGCTTTCTTATCTAATCAGTATTTCCTGTCTTGTTCATTTGCGGTTTTGCAGCTGAGGATGGTGGTTCGGTCCATCGAAACTAGTCCTGTGAAAATTTTGTAAATATAACGCTGATTTTTGTTGTTTGACTTCTGAATTAGTATTTGTTCGGCATGTTATTGTGTCTTAATTAAGTTATAATGTTTTAATTCTAAAATTTAGTGTCAAATTTGGGCGTGTTTAAAAGAGATCAACTTCTTTATGTTAGCCGCCCAGTCGGTATAGAGGTCAGGGAAGCTGACTGCGATGCCGAAGGGCCTCGGTTCGAATCCTGGAGAAGGCGTGATTGTAACCTGTCCGTCCCTTCATAGGAAAGGCGATGGTGGCACTACCTATTAAGTGCCTCCATAATAAAGAGACCACCACATCCGGCCTTGCATAGATTAATGGACTGGGTTACATTTGTAATTGTTCACAATCTGCCATTGGAAAGAAAAAAAAAAAAAACTTCTTTATGTTTCTTCCCCCCCCCATTTAGCTTTAACAGTAAATTAGGATCAACTTTTAATTTTGGTCTGTATTTATTTCTCAAATATAACATGAAAGAAAATCCTTGTTGACGCAAACAGATTGTGCAAAAAGGCAATACAAATTTGATAGCTTTATTTGAAAAACTTTTAAATTTTTTTTGTCAATTCAGCCAAAAGTTAACAAGTTCATTTTCGAACTCTGCAGTTCGATCACAGAAGATTTCTACCAATTGGGGGGGGGGGGGGAAGGGTTCTTTTCTTCACGAGATTTTTGAATTTAATAATTTAAAATAATTTGTTTCTTTGCATGCCACCTATTTTTCTCTTTGCGTACCACCGGTTGGGAATCGCTGGTCTAAACTATGTAACTGCAAATGAGAACTTGTGATAAAATTTCCTGTATTTATAATACATAAAATTGTATATATGCATTCAATAGACATGTATTCAATAGACTCGTATGATGTGCATGTTCAAACATAGGTTAGGCAATGTAACAAATAGAATGTTGTTAATTTAACTAACGTATGTAATATTATAAGGAATTATTGCATTCCTCTCAGCGTGCTGTCGCCGTGTAACTGATTGTACGTACAGTTGGTAGCTGAAATATCAAATTCCATCAAGGGCACAGCTTTTTTTTTTTTTTTTTTTTTTTTTTTTTTTTTTTTTTTTTTAAACCATGATTCATGGCTCTGAAAAATCTAATGTCTCTGCAGTATCATGAGTAAAAGTAAACAGTGCTGTTTATATTTCTGCCAAGTTTGTAATGTATTAAACCTAAACATTTTAGAAACTTTCAATTATTTATATATATATATATATATATTTTTCTAAAAGTTGGAAAATTTTGTTTTTAGCACTTTTGTTCTTTTCTTCTTGGCTTTTGTCATAATGAGCCATCCAGTTCAGAAATTTATCCAAATCTTGATTACGCTAAAGTAAATTTAACACTGCAGTTTCTTAATTGCAATAACTGCGATGCTTGCTGAATTCTGGCGAGATTTGTTTTTGTCGAAGGAAATGCTCGTTGCTTTCGAATAAGTTCTTACTCTTTTAGTCTACGTGATTCCGGTAGTCTGTTGTGGGGGTTAGTGGAAGTGTAACTGCAATAGTTGGGAGCTTTCCAAGGGTTGAATAATTAGAATTAGGAGTCACCCTTTATGCTAGTATAGTAGTTCATATAAAATTCTCATAAACCAAAACTTTTGTCTTAACACTGTCTAAAAGCACCAGTATATTTACTGAGAAGCTAAATTTATATAGATTTGCTAAGGAAATGATGGCCAACTGATGACCTGCAAGTCGCATGCAGCTCGTAAGTTGCTTTTCTGTGGCCCGCAGCTAGCCTAACAAGATTTATTATTTTACCGAGAGAATTTCCGAATTTATGTATATTTGGATACTTTTAATCATCGCAAGACTGTTTTAGATTTGTAGAAAATATAAATATCCATTTTACATGTATCCATCCTTTTATCCATTTTACATGTATCCATCCTTTTATCCATTTTACATGTATCCATCCTTTTATCCATTTTGCATGCATAATTCTTTGATTTAATAGGTATCTTTTTTAATGACCTTAGTAATTAAGAAAGCTTTGCATAAGGTGACTAATGTAACAGGGCAACGTTCAGTCTCCAATTAGAATGTAAACTAAAGTATAACATAATATTCATATTTCTAATAATATTTAAACTAAGCGATTGTTTTTCCGATCATTGTGACCGCACTGTTACAGATTTCTATTTTTCATTCATATTCTAGATTCATTAAGTTCTACAAATAATTTGTTTTCATTTCAGGCTGCAAAAGAAAACTCTTTTGAGAAAACTCTTGTTTGCAATTATATTGTTGTTATTAATTGCAACTTTAGGATTAATAATTCTACTTTACATGGAACAGAAGACTCAAAAGGGTAACTATAAATTACTTTAAAATCATTTAGTGAAAGTGGCAAGCAGAAATTTAATTCGTATATCTGCTTTTAAGACTCATCAAAGTAAATGCATTTATATTAATATAAATTCAATTGCATAGTGATGAAGCCCTGCTTGATCCAAAATTTTTAATTTTTCTTCAACAATATGTATATTTATATATTAAGTTGAAAACTAAATACAGACATGTTTCGATGCAAAGAAAGGTTAAGAAAAAGAGTAAAAACAGAAAAAATAAAAGAAAAGATTTATTAGTAAACTAGACCATGGAATAAATTGTGTTTCCTCATTTTAACTAAATGAATGTAATGATACTGTAGGGCATTTATGTTATTTAACCAGTTATTTTATGTCATGAATCTTTACCGTCACTTCTTCTTTTCCGTTTTTCTGCCAGAATACAAATTTGTCTCGCGTGCATTTAAGAGAGGGTTTGAGAATGTTTAGTTCCAGCGTGTTCCGCATATTCAAGGCCACGTTACTAGTAGATATTCCACGACAATATTCTTATCTACGGCGTTGCTTTATTCTTGCAGATTGTGCTGTCACGCCGGTGTAGGTCACAGCCAGCTTGCGCGTTAAATATCTCTGCACAGCTTTTGGCTAATTTCTACTTAGACTTAGTTTAAATATCAATTCCTTACTTTTGATTTCTAGCCATAAATGTTGACTGAGTATGTAAGCACTAGGAATGCCTTCTGTTTAACTTATATGAGTTCTTACTAAAAGGGTGTTTTACATCCTTTATACGTTTCTATTTGCATAAGTCGCCTTCGATCTACATTCAGTCTTGACTTAGTGTATGTTACCGAAACAAGTGAAACTCTACAATATCACTGAGCACACCACATTCAGGGCGATCACTTATGACGTAATGATACCTCATTATCCCATGAGCAATCGTCGTTAGATAATTTTGTCTACGGAATTCCATATTTAGAAATTTCAAGGGTTTGAGATTCCTCTAGATATTTCAAAGTGAGCAAGTCTTAAATATTCTTCCCTTTCAATAAATCAGTTTTTAAAAAATATTCCCAATATTTTTTAGCATGTGTGTGTATACAAGATGAGTCAGGATACTTAGCGGCTCAAAAAATGTATGCATTGTTTGACTGGGAGTAACTCTTAAATAGATGGGGCGGAATGCTCCACTGCACTGTTTCCTGACGAGATGACAAGATGATAGTAGTGGGCTGGGGCGCCATCTTCTTTGAGATAAAAACTCTCGTGCCTAGAGGTCTCCAGTGGCAGCTAAAAGGAATGTTTCTAACTTCTGCATGTACTCCTCGCTGGTAAATGTGCCGTCAAAGAAGAACGGCCCAAATAAATCACGATAATATAATACAACCAAACTAACCACGGTAGATTCATGATTTTGTTTACGTGAGTTTCCGGATTCACAGCCAGACCCACAGACATAATTTATCGGTTTTCTGTGCCATGGAACTTAAATATGGCCTCATCGAGCCATACTACAGTCTTTTCAAACGTTTCATCTTTGTTAATCATATTTTGAAATTATTCATAACACTCCAACCTACGATCTGGGTCGTCCTTATTCACTGCATCTTGGAAATTCTTTCCAATTTGAGACTACCAAAATGTTACGAATTCTCACGCAACTCATTCCGGCTTCACGGGCACACTGTGTCATAGACTTTCATGGTGAGTCAGCGAATTCGCCGGACTTGTTGCAACGACAGGTCAACCAGAGTGGTTTTTGTGTACATCTGTAACAAAATCTTTGGCTTCAAATTCATCATGAATTCGGAAATGGTTAAGCATGTTGGCGGATGTGTTCGAAATTTATCTCATTTCCCCTTACTGGTTTCATACTTCACATACCACCGCAAGACCGCCTTCCTTTCTTTAAATGTCAGCCTTGCAGCCATGTAGCTACTTCGCTCACGCCGTTTATATATATATATATATAAAAGAAACCATTATCAAGTTGCAATGTAACACCGGAAAATTAAAGTATACCAAAAGTGAGAGTTATTCACAAGTAAATAATGTATAAATTTTTAGCTATCCTGTATAGCTATAAATTTGAAAGACAGAGTGTCAGTGTATAATAAATAGGGAAATGGTGAGTGAAATATTAAATTTGAAACTTCACTTTTTTTATTTCAAACAAAGGTCACAAACGCAAATTTATATCATTATTCAAGATAGCGCTGAGCATATAGTAGCAAATTACAGTTGCAACATGGGCGTTAACATTCGATCATAGCCTGGGTCATTCTGGGTCACCATAGTTTAGATAATTCATCTGACTACTAATCAATTATTGCCTAGTTATTTATCAGACATATCTTGTCGATAACTGGTCATCGTTCAAAATGATTGGGAGACCGATTACACATGATTTTAAAGCAGAGTTGTTTCTTTCCATTACGGGTAAGTGGAAAAAACAATTGTTTACAGCGGGAATATCCAGAAAAGATTATCTTCCAAAAGGACTGCAATAGCACTGACGCAGATATATCGATAAGGACTGGAAGTGTTTGAAACGACGAGCAATTGAGGAAATAAAGTGAGTCTGATATGTATTGTATATTAATGCTGCACATGTCAGCAGCCATGGTAGGTTGAATTTTGTGTGCTCTTGATTTTCCGATACTTTTGTTATAAATAACGTGACTATGTTCTTTATTTGCAAGATTGTATAAGTTCCGAAGTAATTTCGAATCTTTGGATACTAAGTATAGTTTGAATTTTTTGATTTTTTGCAAGTTTGCTTTTTTATGTCGTGCGTAACGTTGGTCGCACTTTTGAAATTTATGCTTACTTTTAATATTGTTTTTTGAACACTTATTTGAATTCTAGAAGAGAATATTATCATTTTCACGTCTTTTCTTGATAATTATATTGTGTTTTATAGAGTATTTTGTATTTGCTTACTTTAGTGCTGCTTGAACTGTTAGGCCTAAAGGGTTTATTTACGTTTGAGCATTTTTTGTTGGTGCACCATTCCTTGATTCTTTCTGCCTGGTAGGACTGAGTGACCAACAAAAGTCGGTGCACCAAAAGTTGTCGTCTTTAAGTCCGCTGGATGATTTTTGCAATTTTGCGCAAAACTAGGACTTTTTTATTTAAAAAATTATTTTGAGTGAATTGAAGTCATTTTAAGTGTTTTGAGAGAAAAGATTTGATTTTTAATGAATTCATGAGCTTTTATTGGATAAATTGTTATATTTATATGTTCAAATATAGAAAAATTTATATTTTGTCCCAATTTCGAGTGCATAATGAATGATAACATTAAAGAATCTCCTTTAGAGAATAATATTAATATTGATACTGAAGATGATGTATTTGTGGTGATTGCACAATTAAATAAAGCGGTGGAAGTTTTAAAAGAGAGACATGTTCCTAAAACTTTAATAGAGACGCTGAATAAAGGTCTAGCTCAAATTGCCAGTTGGGCTACTCGCAATAATTATGCCATATCCGAATAAAAGCAAATAAAAGGAATGAATAAAAAACTGAATGATCTTTTAGGAGAGGTTGGTGTCATTAGGAATATGATTGAATCGAAACGACCTGCGATAGCACCTTTTAGAAATGGAGATTATCTACACAAGGATGGAAACATTGGTAAAAATTACGAATTGAAAAAGAAGAAAGATAATGAAATTGTTCTTAGACTCCTCCATGATAATGTAGTCGTATATAACGAAGTTAAGAACAATTTGAGTCCGCCGAAAATAGGCATCAATGCAGTTGACTCAGATTGTTCAAAAAAGGGAGATATGGTGGTATGCCTAAAGAATAAAAATAGTGTAAAATATTAGAACAGATAGTATTGGAGAATGAAAAATTGAATACCCTGGTTAGACCTAAAAGAGAGAGATTTATTAAACCCAAGATTATTGTTTACAACATCTCGGATGTTTTTCCGGAGGATCAGATGATAGAAAAATTAAAGGAAGATTCATGTTGCAATGGTGAATGCGTACGACCGTTATTTAGGATTCGTGTTCTAGAAATGGAGATCTCTCATCGAGTGTACCAAATTTCTGATTCCTACCAAAAAGATATTATGGAGGACCAACGAATTATTGTTGGGTGGAAGTCATATTCCGCTAAATTCTATCTTTGCCCAAAAAGATGCACAAAGTGTTTAGGGTATAGACATATTAAGAAATATTGTAAGAATCACATCGCCTGTGAAATTTGCTCATTCGCACATGTTAAGTCAGAATGTAGATGTGAAACTGAGAAATGTATAAACTGTGTAGAAGTTAATAAAAAATATGGAACAAACTATTCGGAAAATCATAAGGCATTTTCTAAGGAATGCTCAGTTTTAATCGAGGAAATACGTTTTTAAGGGATCATATGGATCTGTATGAATTTTATTGAATATGTTTAAAGACCTATTATATGCTTGCTGGGACTATTTATGCTTGTGTATTCTTTTCTGCTTCTTAGTGCCAAAATATATTGGATTTTTATTTTGCATATATTGGATTTTAACTTTGCATATATTGTGTTTTATGTATATTGCTGCTTATATCATTCTTTTAATTTTGGAAATGAAGATTTTAAACATTAACTTAAATCCCTGTATTGCTGCGGCATGCCGTCTCCCTGCGGTTGAAAATATTAAGAGTGGATACAACGAATGCCTACTAGCAAAGTACGTTCGAGGTGTTCGTTTATTTACATTTCGAAAGAGTGTTTCATTGCGGTACCGACACTGAGAAACTCATGTGATTAATCATACTTCTAAAGATTAAAGCGAAATTCGTCTAAAATCTTCTTCGTACATTTGTAATCGTTTAAATGTGTGTGTCTGGAAAAGTAGATTAATATATCTTTGCTTTATGAGAATATCAGAATTTCATTTTTGCCATTTAAAACACTTTTTTAAATAGTCAAGAATATTTTTCGTAATAATAATGAAAGCAGAAAAAATTGTATCTACAAATAAATCAGAAAAGCAATATATTTGTCCTTAATTTTATTTGGACATCTGTAAAACTTTCATTTGACACATTAACGAAGTTCATTTGTTATACCATGTGTATACTGTGATGTGCTAGTTGTTGAACGATCATGAATCACATATGTGAAATTACCAATAAGTCCTCAGAATGTTTAAGTCAATTAAGAAGTGGAAAATAACAGCCATCCAGGAATTTTTGGCTTTGCTTGTCAGATGCGGTCGCACATATTATTCTGTTATATATGGTAGTTGGCCCCTGGCAGTCCTTGAAGATAAAAGATTCCAATAGGCACCCATAGCCATAAGACCCATACCCATAAGCCATAACCATAAAGTGGCTTCGCCGGCTAGGTGGGCCGGAACTGCGCCCGTTTATAACCACTAGGCACCCTCACCTCACAATTCTAATGACGGCTGCGCTAGGTATCGGGAATGCGTATCTAGACGTCAGCGAGATTGAGTTCTATCGGCACCACATACTCTAATGCAAGCTATCGGATCAGTATGTCGATTCACAATGCATACAATATTTCCCGGCGATACCACTGGATATGAATTTGATTATTCATGCTTGGAGACAAAAGCGAGATTCGTCTAAAAAGGCGACGTAAAGAAATTCGTATCTTCACCTACTATCTTGTAGGCAAACTGCAACTGCAGACATACTGCTAAAGCAAAAGTAAAAGAAGCAAATAACTGTGTTCCGAAGCTATGCTGATGCTGTATATGGCATTGAATCGAAGATACGGAGAAGGTTTGCTTTCTTGACTTATGACTTCGGATTTATGATGTAGTTCACACTCTACATATAATTCATCGCCAGCCGATGGGATCTCTGAGATTCTTCACTTTGATGAGTTCAGCTCTCTTTGACTCGTCGATTCCAGGCACATTCGATCCACATTCCACACAATATGAAGGCCAGTTTCTCGAGTTCTCGAAAAGAAATTCGCAGTCTCGATACGGCAAAATTCTCACTCAGTGTTGGAAATTAGCTGTTGTAGAGAAAAAATGTAATTCCGAATAAAAGTTTTGAGCATCGTCATAGCTTCAGAACGCAAAATGGCACTACGGCTTGTATCGTTGACGTCTAGCCGTTGGATATGATGTTTTTTTAGCTCCGAGAATCTGGCAATCGGATTTCATTCCTATTGCCGAAAAGCTCATCAATAGGATAGAAAGCACTTTACGAATGAAGGCCGATTTAATCTCCTTAATGATTCCAGTCGTCTTAACATCTAGAAAGCGCGAATAACACGCAATTATCCTCAACATCGTGGAAAGGCACCTGTTTGGAAATGTCTAAGTTCTCATTTGAGGAAGAATAGCGCTTGGTGGATATATGAAGTTCCATATCTTCAAGGACATTCATTTACTGGTAACCGCTATCTTCCAAGGTTTTCCTTCCCTACATTCCCCTTTTCCGAAAAGATGCGTTTCATGAATTTCTTATCATAGACGACAACGCTAAATTCATCATACAGCGGTTGTATATAAGTTCTTCGATAATACAGATAATTGCTGCATCGATTGTTTTGCACGATACCCGGATCTAAATCTAATCAAATAATGAGCATATCATTTTCGACGACTCTTGGATGCATGCCGCTAGCTGCTAGCAATGTCTTCGCAGTGCATTTTCCTTGCCTGAACCCTGTGAGATGGACGTTTTTGCGTTCCGGCCTGCTGTTCTCGGAATGCACTTTTGAATATAGACCTTTTGCATCATTTGGGTTCCCTTCGTAGTCAGTGTGGTTCGCCTTCCCACAGCCATGTATCGCGAAATCGCGAAGTTGTGATATGCGTTTTACTCATTTGAATTACTGCTGCGCGACGTTATACATGAAAACATGTCGGTCCTTAATTTTAACACACTATTATTTTTCTACAAACATATACTGACTAGTACACTAACTGGTAAAACTAACACTTTCTTGAGTTATAATTTCTCGCACGATCGACTCAATGTTCTGTGTGCGGGATAATCACACTAGCGAAATTATGACATGCATGTAAGTTACTTTCCTTTATGGAGTATCGCAAAGTTGTTTATTCTTTAACCAGTCTAAATAATACCTCTCTTATAGCTTTTTTTTTTTTTTTTTTTTTGTGTGTGTGTGTGTGTGTGTGTGTGTGTGTGTGTGTGTGTGTGTGTGTGTGTATATTAAGATAGATAGTCTTTGTGTGATTTGCTGTAATAAACTAACCGACCAACCGCAACAGCCCTTTTCATATTATTCTTCCATCAGTCATTCTCCAGATAAAATTTACTTACACAAGCAATACTAGTTAAATGAAAATAGTAGGAGACAGGAATTAAGCCATTTATAATCAAAGTGAATAATGAAAGCTACGCTTTGCAAAAGATTTACAAAGATTAAAGACAAATAAAAAGGCTGTCTTTAATACATCTAACGTAAAAAAGGCAGAAAATCAGTTGTTGCAAATACGCAATCCATCAAATACGATACACTTTCAGATAAAATGTCATTAACAACACATGCTGTGCACTTTTTTATTTCTAGTCTAACAGACTATAGAAAAATATTTCCATGTTTTGAAAATAATCATGCTTAAATCAAACAGTTTCGCTCAACTACCTGAACATAATAAATTCTTTCAAAAGTTCCGAGACGAACACATACTTATACAGAAGGCAGTTACAGTAAAATAATTATTTATTTAAAAATAAGAATAAAATGATTTTTAACTGAATATAAAGATATCCTTAGTTTGTCATATATTTTCAGATCCTGTATGTCGTTCAGCTGCATGCCGCGTCATAGGTAAGATATTTAATGATTATTTCATGACAATTTAATTCAAAATTTAATTAAAATGAAAGAAATTAGCCCCAAAATTTTATTTACGCTTAAGTTACCTTTACTCTCTTTCAGTTACAGACTGCTCTTAAAAATGTTACATCCTTCAAATGTATTTAAAACATAAATTAAATAACGTTTAGCTATACTCTAAGGACATGAATTACTTTGCCGGCTATTCGGAATCTAGCTCTATGAAGAACGCAATACATCAAAACCATACTTACTAACCATATTACTGTCCCATTTAACTTGCAAAACACGAAGAAATCAATATTTTGTATATCCGTGATGGCTATCAATATCTGTTGCGACACGTCTCGTCATTGAAAAAGTGAAGGCTATGGATATTTTCATGGGGCATTTTAGTCCATGCTGTTTCCACATGTTGAAAAAGTCATCTGGCGTAGCAGTGGATAGCTGGCAGTGTATGCTGGGCCACTCATTTGTTAGTCATTGATCAGACGTATTCAATGGGCGTCGTTCTGAGAGAATGAGCGAGCAACAGAGTACTCTAGTGGACACTTGGGCACGTGGTGGGTCACTAGAGATCACGCACTGTTGAATTGAAACTTGGCCACAAGCAAACCTTTAAGGTATGGGAAGACATCACACTCCAAATCTTCAAAGATATAGCTCTGGCTGTTGAGTGTGCTGGCATTGTGTATCAATTGCTTGCGAGAATAAAATCCAGTGGCACCGCAAACATAACTCCAGATAACGGACTGACAAAGCAATGCATAATGCAAGAGCCATGATGTCAGTCCCCATCGTCCCGCCAGTCTCATGTAAACCATCATTCTGTTATTCTGATTCATCTGAAAAGACAACGTTGAGTTATTCTTTTATCTTCTGTAGATAACATCGATTAGTACCTATTGACACAGATGACACAGACCCTTATTCTTGGGCTAGCTCTCTTGATGTTGCTTTGCGATCCGTCATTATCAGGCTTACTACGCGCCTTTCTTCTAGTTCGATATGTAACAAGTCTAGTACAGCCGCTCCCCCTGGCCTGTCCGTCGTTCGCACTGCTTCGATATTCTCCTAATTTTTGGCTTGATTTTATCCAACACGAGTACCAATTTTGTTGAAAGATAAGCCATAGTGCTTCCTCTGTCAAACTCAGAAATTCAGAAACCTTTTTTTATGATAAGGATTACTCAAGTTTCCTAGGCAAAGGAACAGAGGAAAGCACACACAATTTCAATACTTAAAATGGTCTATTGTTTCCCATTTTTGCAGTACTTTTAAGTGCTATTACTAACTCACATGGTTTGCATGTAAATGCATAAGCCATGTAATTCTAATCTTTACACCTGATGTTTGTGGCATGGTTTGAGCCTTCTGAGTTGAATGACTTCTTGGTCTGCTCACTTTTCAGAAAAAAAATTACATTTCATATTCATATAAGTAATTAAAAGCTTTTAAACTATTGAAAACTTAATTTTTTGTTTTAAATAAAACGTTTTATTAACTATAGTGTTTAACGTTACATTACGTTTTTTGCTAAACATAGAAGTTACGGTAATACGCTCTTGATGAATTTAGTATTTAAGGATTATTAGGAAGAAGGAATTTAGTATTTAGTATTATTTTTCTTCATAGTTCTTCAGTTTGCATAATTCTCATTCACATTTAAAAACTAAACATATTTGTTTACTCATTCAAAGGTGCCTCCATTCGTAAATCACTTGACTTGAGAGCGGATCCTTGCCATGATTTTTATGCTTACTGTTGTGGTGGATGGCTAAAAACCCACGAAGTTCCGCCTGATATGAAAAAATTCGGCGTTACTGAGCAATTAGAAAACGAAGTCCTCCTGAAGATAAATGGTGAAAAAAGTTTTGTATAAATTAAATAAATCGACTTAAATTTTGTAAGCAAAAGCAATTTTTTTCTCTTTTATGTTTAAGGTTTGTTGACTTCAAGTTACAGTTCTGGAATCGCATGGAAGAATGCTGTGAAATTTTATAATTCTTGCATGAATATGAGTAAGTTCTAAACCGTTTTGCTTTTAAGTGTAAAACCTTTCACCGTGTTTTAGAATAAACATGTACTCCGTAAATCTTTCTGAAGTAATCTGAAAACTTATAATATCTTTAAAAGACATTGAATGTGTTTTAGTGATGCTCTAAAATAGTTAATTTTGCTCATTTGGTCTTTTTTCTTCAGTTAAAGGAAGCAGAAGTTAATTTCACAAGAAATAGGTCTAATATGTTTTAACTTCAAAACTGTTCGATACTTTAAATGCTTTTGTTTTATTTGATTGAAATATAGGGTTGTTTCATTCAAGTGAAATACAGGGTTATTGAAGAATAGGATAATTTTCAATAATTTGTAAAAATTTCACCATTAGCTATATCGTACTGAAACTTGAATAGGCATGTGCATACAAATAAGAAGATTTTTTCTTAAAATTCCATGAGGAGATATAGGAATCACCATGTGTGACGAAACCCAATAAATAAAACGGCTATGTCTGCGGGGAACAAAGCGTTTTGTGTCACAGATTTCAACCGAACGAAACATATTAGCATTGTTCAATAGAAGTTTCGATTAAACTTTAAAAGCCATTTCTGAGCAGAGAATCTTTCTAGAGTTGCTATATAAAATTGAAAATATGGGTTGTTTAGTGGAAAGTCCTAGCTGATTTTTTTTGTCCTAAGGAGAAGTTGAAACTGTTCACTGCGTTTTCCTAATCAGCAAGATGAGAAAGTTTTCAGCTTGCGTTTCCACAGCCTATAGTTTGAAACGATTTGCGTAAATAGGTGAAATTCATTCTGTATAAACTTCACCTAAATGAGCTTAACCAAAATAAAAGAGTGGGAAGATTTTGAAAAGTTAAACCTTGAACCCCGAATCACATCATACTTGGAAATACTTTTCCATTGAGCTGTTGATTATGATACTAAGTTCATTTCAGATAATATATCTGTTCCCGTACTCTTTCGTATAGAATGTTCTAGAAGTGGATTAACAATGAAGAAACGGGTAGCATTGTGCATCCATACGTCCCTTAAATAAGTATCTGGTGTCACAATTTGTGTCTCGGTAAAGAACTGCAACTGTCTGATATCTTATCAATTAGTGCAACAGTGGTTCAACTATCATCTTTTGCACCGTTCTTTTGAATGCGCTAAGATTGCCTATCTGGAGTTCAAAAAGTGTACTTTTTACTTCTAAATATCATAAATAACGCCTCGAATGGACCACGAAATGTCATTATTCAGCAGTGAATCCTAGACAGAGATAGAGGAAAGTTATCCAGAATGATCGAATCCTTTTCCGCTTTTCTACATTCGAAGCCGGATCCTCATATAGCATTGAACCCAAACCATATGCATTGATTGAGCATATGAAATTCATTTTTTTTCTTAGCATATACTCAGTTGAAGTTTTCTCACAAACGCTGAATAGCAAAAGCTATAGGGTTTGCCAGTCTGGTTAATGACTGGAGAATGATGACAAAGAATTCACTATAGTGTGCGCCCCTCACTTCCGTTATTGTAGCCTAACTAAAGATTTGTAAGATATGATAAAATTAAGTATAGGAACGAGTGTTTCTTGGCTTGTAATTTAATAAAAATATTCTGAATTTTTCTTTAAATATTTCAATAAACTCTTATAATATAAAATATTTCCCAAACTTTTAAAATATGCCAAGCTATGTTCTTTAAAAACGTAAAAAACCTATCCATCTTTAGCTGTTTCTGCCGATCTACCTACTTTCTGCTTTAGGTAAAATATATGAAAAACTTATCATCACTAGAATCAAATATCGTATTAAAAGAAATGAGTTTTTAAGTGAACGTCAATATGGATTTCGCATCGGTTACAGAATGTACATGCACTCGCTAAAATGAAAGAAATAATTGATGGTAGTAAAAAATTAGTAGTTCCCACTGTTGTCTTAAGTCTAATGTTAAAAGTGCTTTTGCTATCCTTTGGTGGCCAGCAGTAGTAAAGCAGCTGAAAGAAGTACCTTAAATTTACTTGAGGTTATCATGAACTACTTGGAAAATCATGAACTGCTTATCATTTATGATAATGGAATAATAAAAAGGATACAAACAAAAGGCTGTCCTCAATTATCTTGTACTGGTCTTGTGTTATGCAGTAACATTTTTAACAAAATTTTGTGAGCTGAATGACCAAAGTATGTTACTTTGATAACTTACTCGGATGATACAATAGTTATTGTTAAAGGTAACACTACAGAGCAACTGAAAAACCATTGTAATACTATAATTAATTTATTTGACACATTCAAACTCAATGGAAAGAGAATTAAATGTGCTAAAGAATTAAAATATTTAGGTTTAATATGAGATAAAAAGCTCAGATGGATGCTACACATGCAAAATTTATAAAGCAGAAACAAAAGTTATTACAGCTTTATATTAAAAGATTTCAGGACACAAATTGGGGCTTTAACCCATTACACAGAAGTACTTACATACTTACTGTATATATACTGTACATCTGTGTATATAGTACTTAGATACAGAGAAGTACTTATATAGCATTGAGATAGAAAAGAATATCTATTGCGCAGCTACTATCTGGGCATTTCCTATGCAAAAAAAGTAAAATTTAAACATCTAATAAGCATTCAGCGCGATTTTAACCCACTTTGTGATGAACATGCTGCAGCATAGATAATATTCAACCGCACATAAGAAAACACCAATAAGTATAGTCATTAATAAAAAGACTAAAGAAACACAACCTGAACATTTATCATATTGCAATAAAATGCCTAGTATCCATACCTATGGTTCTAAAATTGTTTATAGTGTGGGATAAGCATTTGTTCTACTGAAGAATGATTCTGTTAAATATCTATGAAAAGGATATCTTGACAATGAAAACAGTATATTTTAAGCAGAAGCATTAGCTATTACTAAAACAATTGAATATATGGTAAACAATAATGTTGTTCATTCAAATATCTGTACAGCTAAGACGTCAGGTCTTTTTATAATTTCAAATTATTCACAGACATCATCATAAACTTGCAGGATTCAGCAATTATTGCGAAGTTGGAGAAGAATTCGAATTTATTGGATGAAAACTCTTGCTTGGATCACATGACAATGAGTTGGGGGACAAATGAGCAAAAGAGGCCGCTGAAAATTATGATGCGGAATATGTTCCCATTTTTTGACTTAAATCGTAATCTTAAAAAAAAATCTCTTGATTATCTCACTAAAAAAATGGCAAAAGGAATGGCAGACCAAGCAGAGTGAACAGGGCAGACGCACCTTTAACTGTCTACCAACAACTGCTATAAATCATAAAATATCGAAGTTATCAAGATACATAGCAGAACATGGTCCCTTCGCAATGTTTTGCTATAAACATGGCATTACCAATACTGATCATTGTGTATGTGAAAACACTGGATCCCCAGATCATTAAATAGTAATGAAATGTCTCTTAATAAAACTGTACCACATTAATTTTCCTGCAGCTAACGTCATTACTTTCAAAAGATTCCTTAGTAAACCTCTTTTTCTTAAAATTTGTAAAATTATGAATCTACTCTCTGCATTGGGAAATTATATTTGGCATCCGCTTAAAAATATGAATATAATAGTAGCATATGTTTCTTTAAAGTTTAATTATTTCATTTATAAACTCACATACAGTCATTTTATTTTTTGAGCATAAGGTGAAAAGGCTTTTTTAATACATGGTTAATTAATCTTAAAGGCTTAATTAAGGTTAATGAACTTTTTTTAATACAAATACATTTTATTTTTAGATTTTTAATCATCTTTCATATAAATACATTTCAACATATACACATTTAAAGTATTTATTGAAATATGGAAAATATAATTTGGTTATTAGCATTTAAAATTAATATAAAGCTATTTAATGGTGAATGTGTAACAATACAATACATGTTAATCACATGCTAAAACCGATGTCCACATTCATCGTCACTTTAACTGAACTGCTGCTGCAGATTCATTGATTCAGGTTATTGATTCAGACCACTCTACATTTTAGTATCTGATATATCTGTAAAATATTTAAAAGAATGCAGATTTTTTTAAGCAGTTTTTACCTGTATGTGAGATGGAAGAAAAATATTTGAGTTAGCAATGATAAATGTACTTCAAATTTCAGCAAATTTAATAAATTTTGAACAATATTTGTTATTATTTTCAGCTGCCATTGAAAAACGAGGTCCAGCACCATTGTTAGCTTACTTTACTCGTTTTGGTGGATGGCCTTTGTTGAACAAAGAATGGCAAGAAAAAGATTTTGATTGGATGACAGCTCTGGCAGTTATTCAATTGACCACAGGTTACGGCTATGTAATTCCTGTCATTATCGGAACAGATCCGAAAAACACATCTAGAAAACTTTTGCAGGTTCAAATTTTATACCCATATAAAGTGTATTAAAAATATGCATTGCTTATAAAATTATCTAACGAGATACTCACCTGAGAACTATTTTTATTTTTCAACATAATCCTCATAATTATTTATACTCCTGTCCCATCGTTTTATCGCTGCTTCAATACCAGCTCCGTAAAACTCTTTGGGTTGCTGTCTCAGCCACTTTATGTCTTCATCTATAAAACGTTTGCTTCCAGGATAATTTTAGTGGACCAAATGATTACTGCTTTTATTATTGTTAGATTGCACAGTATATTTCTCAGATCACTTCCTCCTACCCTCTGCGCTGCTAAGTCTGTCTCAATCTGAAAAGGATGCTCACTTCAGTTTTCATTCGAAACTTTGGAGCAGCCCTTTCGAGACATAGGAAAGAGGAGCTGTGGGAAATTTCTAAGCCCAACTTGTGCACACTTTACGCGACAAACAGTTCTTTCTATAATAAGAAACATTTTTTTATGAATATCTTTCCCAAGAAGTCCTTTTGCCCCCTCATTGAAAAAAAAAAGCGAATAACAGTCTTCTTTGCTTGTCTTGTACAATCATCTAGTTCCATCGGCATTTTAAAACTAAACAGCGCTATGCGCAACTAGTACCTAATAACTAACGAAATGAATATCTTGAATTAAAACGATTCTATAACTTATTAACATACATGGAAAACAATAGTTGCTATTTTCGTATTTATCGTGCCAATTTGTGACTTTCCCTCGAAAATAAAGGCAGCATTTTCAAGGTATTTTCAATAAAACTGAACAAACATAACTGACTGAATTTTGTAAAGAATTTCGATTGTAAAATATTTGCATACACTTTCTTGACTTTTTATAAAACCTGATTGCAAAAATCTATTCTTTTTTACTTCAATGAATTATTTTTGTTAGATTCACTTGAAATGTACTGTCCTACATTTTTTATTTCCTTTCAAATCGCATTAAATGGTTATGATATTTGAGATTGCAAATGTCAAGTCATTGGAGAAGTTTTTCATTTCGAGTATATCTTTTAGACTAAATTTTCATCTTACATATTTATAAAATCCAAATAAATAATTTTATAAAATATATTACAGCACCAATGAAAAACCTATTATAAGAAGAGTAAATAAAATTTTGAAGAAAAAAGAATTGTCAATAACAAAATATTTTATTCTACTTTTAAATTCAGATAAATTTATTAACCAATAACTTGAGCAAATATTCTCAAATGTTTTCTTAAAACTAATTTAATTTGTACTAATTGAAAGATATTTGTGCTATTCTCTGAAGACTAAATTGCCTTATTCTATCTTTGCAACAATCATTATAATATCAATATCAATTTTCTAATGAACTGAAGAAAATTTTCTGTTAATTAAAAAAATCTCGAATACCTAAAATACTTCTTTTCAAACTTTAAGTTTTATTCCAAGTTCATTATAATTTACTTACACTACATTTTTCTCCCAATTCATTTAGACAGTCAGAAGTGTTTATAGAGAGCCAACCTAAAATCTGACTTGTTGAAAATTAAATGTTATGTGTGAATGTTGCAGCCTATCAAAAGGTTAGGTTTATTTTATTATGGCAAAGCACGCCAGGGATATGCGCCTAAGGGGAGAACTGTCTTCGTGGAGGACTTTTTAGGGGAAACTAATTCATATCCACACAGTACATGGGATAAAACCACAAAAAAACACACGTATCCGCTTCGTTTTTCGCCGAGATCTTCAAACACTCATCGAACTGGCAGTTTTCAGCGACTTTATCACTCGGCCGCTAGTGAGCATCGATCAACAGTTTTAATGATTCTAATAAGATTATCCATATTCTGAGGTAAGACAAAGAAATAAATTTATTACTTCAGCACTTGCAGTTTTAAATCAGTAGATTATCTTAAAACTATCCCAAAAGGTAAAGTCCCTTTTCTCTCATAGATATATTTTTATTTGTTATTTTTCAGTGAAGGAAATATAAGTAACTTATACCGTATTTCAAAATAATTTCATCCATTTAGTATTAGTATCTCAATAATGCGCAAATTACTTCAAGTGTGCGAGTTATATCTACACTACTTTTTACGCTTCTTATGAAAATAAAATGGAAACGGATAAAAGGCTACCACTTGTTTCATTACAGTGTTAATTATTGCCTTGAGACGGCTAATCAATAGTTGTCTTTTAACTTCCCATTATCTTCATTTCCTGCCAGGCAAAATTGTTCGGACATTATCGGTGATCTAATGTTCCAGCCCTTCTACTATATAAAAATTTCCATTAATTATGCTATGAGGAAAAAAAATAAACCGTACTGTAATTCTTTTAATAATATCTTCATTTCAAAGCTAACAGAAACAGACACAGAACAGAGGAAATGAACATACAAAAAGAGAAAAATAAGAAAAATAAATCGTGTGTTTGAAATAAAATGGAAAGTAGCGGAATGTTAAATCATACACTCTCACTATAAGTTTTTTCCTCTGCCAATGTATGCATCTAAATTATTACAGTCATTAAAAGAACAGTTTTAGAAAACAGGGGAGCATCGTTTACACTTTTTTAATTTGTACGTCGTTTGCATTTATAAGTCGTTTATCTTGGTCCGATCCAGTCCTATTAATTTTAATTAAATTTAATTATTTATTTTATATTCGTCGCATAACTTCGACTATATGTCGTTTTTGCTTGACTACGGCATTGATTTTACATTTCGCAGTCCCACCCGCTCATGTATTTTTTCCAGAATTGCCATTGTTTCCCTCAAGCCTTTTTCCCAGAAGAAGGAAACAAAGGCTTGAGATATCAAGTCTGCTAGAAATTGAAAACTAGTTTATGAATACGGGGAATACATGGAAGGAAAAACAGATACCGCCTCTTCTTCTCAACAGGACGCTGCGTTAAGTAAACTAGGTGGAACAGTATTAACTGATACAAAATGTAATGAAAGCGAAAGGCAAAGTAAAAGATAAAATTCAAATCTTAAAAATATAATAAAAAGTTCGGTAAAAGATAAAAAAGGATCGTTAAAAGTTCTTCTCTAAAAGATAAAACTTAAATTTTAAAAGAATTTTATAAGAATACTGGTTTGACAAATTTCAGCAAGGAAAGAAACTGGCTATTCCTGTGAAAAAACTGAAAACGGTTGTTTATGATAAAAAAAATGTTGAAGAATGAGCGGAAATTTCTAGACAATCCGTTTCAAAGAAATTCGCGTTCCCCCCCCCCAAGAGGGAAAGTTTCCTGAGTTTGAAACTATTTTGCTAAAATTTTTCAGTCAGCGTCGTGCATCTAGCGAATGACCCCATGTTAATCAAGAAGCGAAAAGGAATGATATTTCAACTGAATATGAAGGAAGCTTGCTTTCAGCTGGATGGCCGCATAAATTTAAATTGTGGCAATAAAATCTCTTGTTATATAATAAATGGAGAATCAAAAAGAGTCGGTTGAAGAACTGTTCAAGAATTTATCCACCAAAATAGATGGGTATGGATTAAAATTCCTTTTTTGATGTTAATGAAACTGCTCTTTTCTTTAAACTTATGCCTGCTTTCAAAGGTAACCAGTGTCATGGAGCTAAGCAAAGTAGAGAACATATCGCTGTTTTACTCTGTGCAAATGCTGATGGTAGGGAAAAAATGACTTCTGTAATTAGAGGAAAAACACAAAAACAAAGGTGCCTCAGAAATGTTAATTAACTCTGCCATAAGAATATAAAGAAAATGAGAAACCATGGATGATTATAGGCATTTTTACAGAATGGCTCAAGAAAATACACAAAACTATGAGGAATACAAAATGGGAAAGTTGTTTTCCTGTCCAACAAATTGTGCACTTGTGTAGTACAGCTTTTAGATCTGGATGTCATTAAGAATTTGAAAATGCTCTCCAGGCAAAGATCTTCAAAATATAACTGCTCGAAATGCTCAGAAAAAGTTAACGTGTCTGTGTCTATGAATATCATTTCACATGTCTGAGTTAAAATAAATCCACAAACAATTAAAAATAGCGTCATTAAAGGGAGTAGCGGCGATGAAGAAGAAATAATCCCACCTTCTTTTCAAAATGCTATCAACTGCGTTGACATGCTACAAAATTTCTTTGTGTGTAATTTCTTTGTGTATGTTGTAAATAATACAAGCGAGAAAACATTTCAAGAACTGAAATCAGTTCATAGAGCTGTGCTTAAGATTCATAATCAAAAGACACTTCAGACGATAATTAAAGACTTTTCTTTTAAAAAAAGTTAAAATTTGCTTTAAAATATTCTTGCGGAAAAAAATTTACTTGTTCAAGACGGTAATTCAAATAAAGGCACGACATTTTTTTCCAGTTTTACCGTCCGTATAGAAATTTGCATCTTATGATTTTAAAATTTTTAAATTTGTTAATTTTAAAAAATCCTTTTTATTGTTTAAAATATTAATATTAATTTAATATTTCTTTAGGTATTAATTTTATCAACGTAGTTAATATCTCAAACAGATTAAAAGTACATTAGTAAAAAATTGCGTAATATCGGTAGTAGGTTAGTAGTATCAAAATTGTGAAGCTATTATATAAAAGTTTCACATCGGAAATTAACATTTCGTTTATACTTCTTTCCTCATTTATACTTCGTTTGTCCATGGTCCTGTGAAAGATGTATAAACGGTGTTTTACTGTATATGTATGTGATGAAAATTATAATAAGGCAAATAGTTCGTAGTCAGGAAATTTTTAATGAGGAATTTCCCCCCAACTAGAAAGCGGTCGGCCACAACTCATTTCTTCGTTTATATCAGCAGTATAGGCTGTTTAAGAGAACAGACACATTATCATAATCATGTGAAATAGCTGTAAAAGATAAAAATCATCTGTTAGTTTAAATTTTACAACTTTCACGTTGCATGCTTTCTGGAACAGAAAAGAAGTAAAAATTGAAAGTGTACAAAAATTACATCTTGATAGTGCAGCCAGGGCATTGAAGAAAAAAGATTTAATTCGAAGATTAAAAATTAAACTGATTTAAGAAAGTTCCTCAGAAGATACTATTATTGCATTGTTTCATTCATTTGTTACTGATGACGTAAGTCTATGTAGGTAGGACTGAAAAAAGTATTCGCGCCTTTTTACTGTCACTTGTCATTCAGATATATTTTCTATAAAAATGAGGCATTAGATGTGAAACAGATGTACCGTAGTTAGCAATATTTAAACTATATAAGCATCAATAATTCCAGGTTAAAGATATGCTGAAATATAACGCGGCATAGCATATGGAAAAATAAAGGGGGGAATTTCCTATTTCAAAATACCCCTTAAAATTGCAAAAAGGGTAAAATTTAACTTTATATTTTTATCTTACATATTCCAAAACTAAATTTACATCTTAACTGTACGTTATATCACTGAAGAAGTACATCTACTTTGGACGCAAATAAAATACATCGATAGTAGAAAAATATAGAATAATAGAATGTAATTCAACTGACTGAAACTGAATCCAACCATGAAAAGCAAAAGTTTGTAAACATCTTAATTCCGATAGTCAAGTTTTAAAATTTATGAGGTATGAGATGTTAATTAATCAGTTATTTTGTGTTTTGGATCTGTACTGTCACTTTTCCCCTTCCGTTTTCCCGCCAGAATGCATATTTAGTTCGCGTGTATTTAAAGTTAGGTTTTTTAGATTGTAAGACAGAGTGTATTCTGCTTCTCGTTGCTATCTTAGATAAGCGTTCTTGTCTTCGGCCTTGCATTATAATTGCCGATAATTGAATTCCCCGCCGGTTACGCTTTGAGCCAACTTCTCGTTAAATTGATTGTGTAGCCTTGAGCTACTAGTTTATTTGAATTTAAATTTTGCATTTGACTAATTGTAAACTGAAGTTATCTCGCCACAAGTGTTTGACTGAATTGTAAGCACAAGACGTGCCTTCTGCTCTTATTTAGATTTTTTAAACTCTTTCCAAGCTTCAGTTGTTATTTTGCGATAATTCGCTTACGTCTACCAAGAGGTTAGATACTCTGGATGATAGCCAAGCATATTAAACACTACAAATTTAATTACATAAAAATAATATATGCTTGTTTTCTTGTTAGGTACCTCTCAGCAACTAAAAATGTACTAAGAAATTTATCTCTTTTATAACTTTCCTAAATCCTACTTTTATAATTTGTGTATGATTGACTCAGCGGAGCATTGACACAATTCTAAAATGTGCGAATAAGTCTGTGAAAGGAAAGGTGGGGGAAAACGATTTTTAAAAAAAGACTCATTTTACTTTGTTATGGTTAGTTTTATCAATACTTATTTATATATTTAATAGTAATCTCAGTGCAGCTGGAATAATATTCTCTGATACTTCCATAATCTTATTTCTTTTCTTTTTTTAGTTAGATCAGCCGAATTTATTGTTTTCAGAAGAAATTCTACGGCAACCAAACAGTGAATCTTCCAAGAGCCAGTTACAGAAATTTCAGAAATTCTTCACTAAAATAACTATGTTGCTGGGAGCAGATATTTCCACTATCAGCGAGTACTTTAACAGCCTACTTGAATTTGAAATTAAGTTATTTGAGGTATTTAAACTCTTAGAATAATATTAGACTGGTTCATTGTATAACTGTCTTTAACCACACCTATTAGTATTTTATTTTATAGTATGCAATGGAATAAAAATTATCTTAGCATGCAAAAAAAATGATGGTTTTTCACGAAGTAATAATTAATCTAATTTATTATTTCAGACAATGTTTTGTTTGTTTGTTTGTTTGTGTGATTACGGCAAAGTTTCGTGGCTTATCTGCCTATGTTTCAGACAATGAGCAAACGGAGGGCCTCATTAGCATTATCCAAACCAACTTGATCAACCTGTTTCTGAAATGCAGGATTTGATTTCAATGTTCATCGAAATAAAACAGTTTTCGACGACATCAATAACATTTGGAAAAATCTTCGAGGTGGAGAATTTTTTTATTTATTTATTTATTACGTGCTCCGTCATTAGGCATTACACGGAAAGGGAGAGATGCCTCGTGGAGGACTTTCTAAAGAAAACGGGATCGTATCCACATTACACTTGGGGGAAAACCACGAAGATGCCCATGCAGCTAACCCGCTCACTGGAACTCAAAAACAGAACAGATAGGCTATGCCATCCAAAAAATTTAAATCTTCCAATTTAAATATTCTGGAATTGTTGCTAAAACAGAGAAAGGACGAAGTTGTAGAAAGAACTGAATCGCAAACTGGGTTTCTCTTTTCATGATTTCCCATTGCAACGGGAATTCAATTGTTAGACAGCTAAATTAAAGCTCGCGGCCGGCACTGAAAAATTTTTCGCGGCAACACAAAGGAATTTTAATGCGAAAAGCCTTTATGCCAGAAATTTAATGTTTTGTGTTTCACCGAATGACGACAAAAAATTTCCGGCGCGAACCAGTGCTAAGAGCATTAGAACTTGTGAATATTGTAAGATGGTTTTCCTTTCAGTGACTAGCCGATGTTCACTTTACTTTGGATTCCTAAAAGTATTAACGATTCCTAAAGTATTAAAAGTATCTGCATCTGAAGTGAGCCAATTGCACGAAATAAAGTTAAGACAATTACAGCTGTAAACGAATGCTATGTTTGAGGGAAGAATAATAATCAATGAGCGTATTCTCTCTGCATTTGTTCCACAGAGGATCTGTTTCTACCCGGACATATAGAGATGAGATCTTACGAGCTCGAATAAGATATTTTAAAGGTGAATGTGAATCTAGCCTTTTTTTTTTTTTTTTTTTTTTTTTTTTTTTCATGGATAATACCGCTTGTGAAGACACAGAAATAACTCTGGTTAATGTATTTCTCGAAACTGAAAGCATTATATGAATATATTAGCCAGACAAATCTCCTAATTTTAATCCGATGAACAATTCATGTGATTCTCTCAAAAGGACTACTGCATGATAAAACTTTCCTGCTAAAGATCTCAGTGCGATGAAGAGAATATTGGTTCACAATGTGGAGATTATTTCCCAAATTTTAAATAACCATCTCACTGAGAGTATGAAGTCTCGTTGTGATATATATTAGAGGAGATCACATTCTCTATTAATAACAGAAGGATCTTTGTTTTTCGAGGCCTTCATCTTTTACAAATTTCCTTTAAATGCATCTTTCGTGACATTCATATTTTACTAAATTTCCTTTACATGCATCTTTCGTGGTATTCTTCTTTTCCTAAATTTTATTTATATACATCTGGCTTGGCATTTATATTACATTTAAGTTTGTATTTATATCTATAATGTTAATCTCTAATTAATTACCTGTTAATTTCTATGCTGTTGATTTACTTTTATCAGCTGTTATTGAGAAAACAATTTTTCGTGATAATGAAGATGTTTAGTACGTCCGAAGAAATTGAAAAGTTTGCAATAAGGTCAATATCATTTTAATTGTATTTTGTATTTGGGAAGGAGTTGTACTTCATAAATATGCTACGCCAGGCCAAACAGTTACTAAGAACTACTACTTGGATGTTTTTCCCTGGTTGCAAAAATGCAAAACGAGGGAAAGGCCTGATGATATCAACTGATGATACGCAGCTTCATTGCGACAATGTGCTCGTCATTTCTTTACATTTTGTATACCAAATTTGTAGCTCAATGACTCCTGGCTGCTCTCATAAATATAAATAACATTTGAAAGGAAACACATTCTAGACCGTCATTGCGATTGAGGGGAGTTTATGTAGTTATTCGCAATTCGTGTGTAAGAGACCAAGCTGCTTATTCTGAAAGAGAATCTTTTGGGGGATAATTGTTATTGTAATTTTCTGAGTTCTATGTCTATATTTTCTCAACAGACCTCGTACAGTCAATAATTCTACAAATCTTTAGGGTCAAAATAAGTGACTGTCAATTTAGAGTTGGAATCTTTATTCATAACAAGTGCTGTAGAGCATATTTTTATGTTTTTAATTTGATATAGTCAAATAACTAAAATTTGAGATCCAAAAAGTAGTACGAAGACAGCATTTATACTGGAGCCAAAATATTACAAAATTCGTAGCAATGTATGATTTTGTGGTCATAGATGAGTAAATGAACTATATATGCCCAAATGTTCAATCAAACAAAAAAACAGCTCAACAAAATATCAAACACAATTTGATTCTGATATCGTTTATGTCTTATTGAACAAAGGTTTGAGAAACATAAAATGCACCGAAATTTGAGTGTTATAATTCGTGATATATCTTATCCTTTTTTTATTCCTAATATCTTGTAAATATTAACAGCTTCTAATTTTCTTTTACCCAAACCCTCGACGTTGAGCTATCGAAATATGTGCATTTGTCTTCTGAATAGTTTAAGATCCCAAGGACAAGAATTAAGTCCTTAATTTTGCAAGAAATCTTTGTTCCTGTATAGCCGCTCTTCTTCGCAATGCTTGTAAGTTTATAAAATTTTCTTATAGAGTTATAATTATGACTACTTATTTTCAGCAATAAAAAATATGTGAATATGTTCAGGATTTTGTGTGTTATCAGAAGAAACTGAACAACGGTTATATTTCAGAGATGCTGTATTAGAACTGTCAGTAGCTACATATTAGTCTTTAGTTAAAATATATCAGACAAATAAAGGTAACATATCAATGACTAAGACTATATAAAGATTCTTACCAAATAAATACACGTTTTTAAAAAAGCCTGTTTTCTCTTTCATAGATGATGAGCCCAGAGGAGAATATGAAAAATATCAGCTACTGGTATAACACCATGACTGTAGGAGATTTACAGCGTAAAATTCCAGAAGTAATTAATTTTTTTGTTTTTTAATATTCTGAAATCATTATCTAAATATTAGTAATTCTTCAAACAAATAAATATTTTAAAAAGTCCTTATAAAACAGCTTTTCAATAGCTAATTTACAGAAAACTTATTTGTTTCAAATAGTCCCATTTTAAGACATCTTAAAACAGCATATTTCCAAACTGAAAATGTTCTCTAATACGAAAGACATTAAGTTTTAAGCCTAAGTATGAAGTAATACTTACGGGAAGAGGAAGTATGGTGAAATGATTAAGTCATCCTTTGGAAATATAAAAAAGAAAGCACACACAGTAGATGTTACACTATCTACTAATAAGTACTTGGACATCCATGCAAATGCCGATATCTGCAGTCCTGATATAGGTCACGAACTCCACCATTAAATATCTTGTAGGAAACAGCCCTGGCATTGGTGGCATGCCAAGATGTCGCAAAATGCAAAGTTATCTGATTTCGAAAAAGGTATAATCGTTCGGTATCACAAAAATGGCCGATCCTTAAGGGACATATCTAGTGAGGTGAATTACCCAAATTCAACAATGGCTTATGTGACTCAAAAGTGAAAGATGAGCAGTGATTATCGGAATGCACTTCAAGTTGGCAGACCAGCGAAACTGTGAAAGAGGGACCGACGGGTGCTGTCCAAAGAAATTCGGAATAACCGCAGCCAACTACCGATGGCCCACATACTCCAAGATTTTCAACAGGCAACTGGGAGTGTTGTTTCGATGAATACCATCCGTAAGCAAGCACATCTACTTGGTTTTCATAGTCCTGCTGCTGCCCATAAACTTTGATCAAAAGGTCCAACGCGCTGCTCGTTTAATGCGGTGCAAAGCATGTCGAAAGTGGACCATAGATCAGCTGAAACGGTTGCAGCCGAAAACATCGCGGCAAAAACATCGCAGACGAAAACGTCGCGGAGAAAACAACGCAAGGCGAGAACATCGTGCTACAAAACATCGTGGGAGAAAACATCGCAAAGAGAAAACATCGCAGTTCTCAAACATTGTGGTACAAAACATCGTCGTCGAAAATAAAGCGGTTCAAAAACTTCGCAATTTAAAAACATCGTCGTCGAAAATATCGTGATAAAAAATAAAGTATCTACAAATCATCGCATGACGATAACATCGCAGACATGCTTTAATAATTGTAAATGGATATTCCCATAATGATTCGTGAGTGCAAGATGGAAAGAAGGATAATTTTTACTTTCATATTTTTTATTAATTAATACATTTTTGCTGAGAAAATAAAAAGGAAACTTAAGCATAGAAAATTAATGCAACTTATAGCACTTAATAGAATTTTAAACCGACATAGTTAACTAACAAAGGCCATTAATAAATCATTTTTATAAAGTTTTTACTGGTAATTTTTCATGAAAAGTATAATCTATAAGTTGCATTTAATTTTCTATGTTTAAGTTTCCTTCTTACTTTTTCAGCAAAAATTTATTAGTTAATAAAAAAATGTGAAAGTAAAAATTATCCTTCTTTACACCTTGTGCTCACAAATCATTATGGGAATATCCATTTATAATTATTAAAATCTGAAAAAAAAGCATGTCTGCGATGTTATCGTCATGCGATGATTTATAGATACTTTATTTTTACCACGATATTTTCGGCGACGATGTTTTTAAACTGCGAAGTTTTTGAACCGCTTTATTTTCGACGACGATGTTTCCTCCCACGATGTTTTGTAGCACGGCGTTTTCGCCTTGCGTTGTTTTCTCCGCGACGTTTTCGTCCGCGATGTTTTTGCCGAGATGTTATCGGCGAACACCGCTGAAACGGATTGTCTAGGGCGGTTAAGCAAGGTTCATCCTATACCTTTTGGATGGCAAGGTCTGGGTCTGGCGCCTGCCTGGCTAACGCCCCCTGTCAGAATGTACGGTGCTCACAGTAAAGTTCAGCGGAGGTGGAATTATGGTCTGGAGAGGTTTCTCCTGGTATGGGGGGGGGCACTTCCCTTAGTCCAAATTCATGGTAAACGAAACACCGACGTCTACTGCACTATTTTGGATGATAGTGTGCTTCCCACGTTGTGGCAGTTTTACGGGTTGGACCCATATTTCTTTCAGGAAGACATCGCCAGTGTCATGTTGCGAGGTCCACTATGGACTGATATGATGCAAACGGGGATAACCAAATGGGCTGACCTGCCCAAAGCTCAGACCTGAACGCGATCCAGAACCTCTAGGACGAGTTGGATCGTTGAATTAAGGGGTGCAACAACCGTCTAATATTGGTGAATGAATTCGCATGTTTCCTTCAAACCAAGTGGAAGAACATTCCAATAGCCGTTATGCAAGAACTTGTAGGAAGCATGCCCCGGAGGGTTGAGGGTGCAATTGCCGCTAGTGGAGGCCCTATCAACTACTGAATTTGAATACATTTGTTTTTCTTTTCTATCACAGCTGTCAAAATCCTTATTCCTATATAGTGTATTATTTGGTTTTTAAAGCTCCTTAAAGGTTTTGACTGAATGATGTGTTTTGATGTTGAAATTATCAAATTATCATACATAGTTCTGTAATGGCGCAATCCATAAAGAGACTATGGTGGTGACGTAAAGTGTGCCAGCAGTGTCGGGCTGTGTCTCAGATAACATCACAACATTATATAATTAAGTTCTTCGCAGAAGAGTGTATAACTCCGGCACAAATTCCTAAACGCAAAGTGCAGTCTTTAGAAATACATTACTTTCTTATGTCCCCGGTCAAAAAATGTACTACCATGTTTCGTCACTCGAAGATAATCCCAGACTTCAATGTAGATGTGACCACCGAAGAGCAGTTTGCTACAGTTGAAGATTACGTGGTGTAAAATAGACGAGCATTAGTTTTTCAGGTTGTTACAGATATGAATAACAAAGTTAGTTCAGCGGAAAAAATCCTATATGAAAAGATGGGAATGTCGAAGGTATGCATTAGATGGGTATTCAGAATTTGGTTAAATGTTCGCGAGAATTGCTTTACATGATACACACGATAAAATCTTTATTCATAGCTAATGCCAAGCAATGAAATATGACATCACTACTGTGACTCAGAAATGAAATAGTACTGCGTGAAAGCACAGTGGATCTCCGCGCCGCCCCCCCCCCCCAATTCAGAACCCAAACATTATCCAGAAAGATTTAGAGCACCATTTTTAATGAAGAGAAACCACCTCCTATTGAGTATGTTCCAAATAATACTACAATAATAGGAGTTTGTTATTTTAACCTATTCGCTGAACTCCACCAAGCCCATGAAAGTAAAATGCTGTGGCAAACTCAGCAAAAAAGCTTTGCTTTTGCATCACAACATGCCAGTACAAAACGACTCAGATGTCTCAGATTGCTATTCAGCAATGCCAATCGAATATACTGGATAGAGGTATTTCCTCTTCTCCTGCCTCCACCGTATTCACCAGACCTGCTCTTAATAACTTCGTTTTGCTTCAAAGCCTGAAGCAGAATTTGGTGGTTCACTTTACAGTGACGTTGATAATTTGCAAAATGCCGTTTAGAAGTAATTTAAGGGCTGTGAAAAAAGTGTTTTTTGTTGGTATCGCATAACCAGTCACTGTGCTAAATGTATTGAAGTCAAAAGTAAATATACAGAAACAGAGAAAGTTTTTAAGTGTTTAGCTTGTAAGATATATTTTAATTTTATAACAGTTATTTTAATTTAGTGAACCTTTCCTATCTTGCCTCGTTTTAACTTACAAGTCCCTACCAGAAGGAGTCTTTAGAATCACGTTGAATGCAAATGAGGAAGAGATAGTATTAGAGGAATATTCAACTGACTTCAAGGAAGAGAGCTAGGAATCCTGAGTAGCGCGCGTTTACCTTCGGGCTATGTCTCTCTCAGCAGCTGTTACGCTCGGCCGTATTATTACGTGCCTTTTGATAGTTCGCCGGCTAGCTCAGATTACACGCCAACTACATTAGAGTTGTGTTAGCTTCGGCTAAATCTCTTAGTTAGATATAGTTAATTCTTATTTCTTACTTTTTAAGCTCAATTTGGGGTTTTGCTGTAAGCCCGAAGAAAGGGGCCGACTATTAATCTATTTTGAGTGAATAAAGGGTAATTAACCCTTCTTGAGTTTACGATCTCTGTCCTTTGAACTAAGCGATAATTCGCTTAGCAGTTCACTAGGTTCCTCTACACTTCATTTAGCAGAACAAAAGTGAGGAACCCTATAACCTTGTATAAATATACATAAGGCTTAAAACTTATTGAATGTTCCCTGTGAATAGTACTTAAAATTTTGCATACAGTAGTTTTACACAAAAAATGTTTATCATGTCAGTAACAATAAATGTGATACAAAGAATTCTTTACTTCAGGTTAATTGGATGCGTTTTTTACAAGAATTAACTAATTCAAGTTTATTATTATTGAATGGAAAGCCAACAATTCAGTATGAGGATATCATTATTGTTCGAGATCCCCTATATATCGAGAAAATCTCTAAATATCTGAGAGATGCATCTCATATTAGGTAAGCATTAACACATTACTTTCATTGTGAATTGTTTTAATGTCTGCCATTTATGCTGTTTAAAAGTACATTTACTGGAAGCAAAAAGTAATAGGCTATAATGAAATGCAGTGGACACTCTTTAATTCGAAATCAAAGGTTCTCAGAAAAGATTTCGAATTATCCGATATTACGAGAAAATATAACTTTAAAAGTGTATCACTTTCGAGTATTTATAACCCCAGAAAATATATTATGCTATCTAAAATTAAACATATTAAAAAACAATAAAGACTTACCTTAATCATAAAATGAAGCAGAAGATATGCAGCAGAAAGTAAATTTTAATTAAAAATATGAATTAGACTTCTGGAAAAAACTATAAAATGGATGTTTTGATTTGTTTATTATGCCTATATTTTTCAGCTAGCTTCTCGATTTCAGATAAACATTTCAGTTCATTTTTAGAGAAAAGTTCAATCTGAATAAATGCTTTCAGAGTTTTTATAAAGTCCATTAAGGCGTGATCATTAGGACGTTTAACAGTCTCTGCATTCACTTCTGTATACGATAAGGTCTTTTCTTTTTCATCTTCTGGGATAGTATTTATTATGTCATCATCGCTCAGTTTTCCACAGACTTCCAACTCTTCATCTACCCTTACATAATCAGAAAAAGTAACATTATCACATTTAAACAATTTGAAATAAGGAAAAGCTGCATCGGTATCGTTACATTTTTCGATATGATTGTTCTGGAAAAAAAAAAGAAAAAAAAAAAAAAAAGATCAGTTGATGCTTCTTACTGGAGAAACATTTGTCTTAAAGATCAACAAATCGTAAGTTAGAATCCCCCTTGAGGTGAAATGTCTGTAACTGGATTGCATTCTTTAATTTAGGCAAAACATGCGAGTGCCTAAATGTTTGTTTGTTAAAGTTCCTTCTCAGTTTTGATTGAAGTACCCCATTACTACCTAAATGGACGTACAACTAGCGAACAGCCGTTAAAACCTATAGTGATAGGTATCTGTGGCCTGTTGGATAATAGAAGTCGTATTACAAAATGCTTATGATAATAAACAGGGGAACGTTAAGGTGAGAAATTCGAGCTCGAAATAGTCAAGTGACTAGTACGATACGGAGCAGTATCAAAAGTATGACTGCGAAATAGAACCACAATCATGAACTTCAGTTAAAAATTCTATAAATATAAAACCTTGTAGGAAGGAATGGAATCTGTACCAGTACAACAGTCTATATCAAACAACAAATATTAGCGTGCAAAAAAAGAAAATCATCACTGAAGTTCGAAAAGGTAAAATTAAATGCGCTGAAAAAAAAACAAGGTAAAAATGCAACCTTTTATACATAGTAATTTCCAAATCCTAATGCAATACGAAACAAAGTATGAACACAATAATGTAAAGATAACACAGCACAATAATACGCAAATAATGTGCAGATACACATAGCAAATCGACAATGTAAAAATGTATTATAATAATATGTAGAGATTTAAAACGATACATATACATTTTAAGAGAATATTGATGCAAAACAATAGAATATACCTAACTAGTTAACTTACATAAACACCCTCAAACCAACTAAGGGTTTCTTAAGCGTTAGTTACTTCCATATTAGGTGGGAGGTTTAAGCCAACTAAAGGTTTCTTAAGCGTTAGTTACTTTAATATTAGGTGGGAGTTTCGAGTTCTCAAAGGAGGAATATTCGAAGACTCCGAAATGGAATAGTAATGTCTAATCTGTAAAACATTTCGAATCATAATATGAAACTATGTACTCTATATATTGTAAATTCGTAGACATTTCATTTTCTAATAAATATTAATGAATCTTCAGACTCTTTTATAGGCACTATAAATCATGCCATATGAAAATCGTTTACCTGATTCATTTAGACAGAACATTATCGATTCGGTGAAATCGGGCTTGACTCATATGCTGAGGAAGTAATACGTCTAAACTGTAGTGATAATTTCGTGCCCAGACTTTGGTATCAGCTCAAACTAACATAAAGATATCAATGACAAGTCATCAGATGCAATAATAGCTTCTGCTTTGTCTTTTCTGGCTGTTCGGACACGTGAAAGAGATGCAACAGTTCCTCATTTGAAGTCACCCTATATGGGTCAGGTCGTAAATTTACAACCCCTTTTTTCACGGGAGGGGCTGAAAAGGAGGGAATAATCTTGCTCGTGGTCTTGAGAAAATGTGGGGGTCGTTTAAACATCTAACTTCTCTACATTCAGTTTTTATACAGAGGAAATACAAATTGAATTCTACGAAATGGAATGCAATTTTGTACAATGAAAATGTATTAGAGAACTATAAACTGTAAGGCAATATAACATCTTTTTTTTTAAGTAGGAGTAGAAAGACAGATATTTGTTACATCAATGAATTTGTAGTAAATATTGAGTTTTTCATTTTGAATGCTATGTTACATGTATGCGAAGTAGCTGAGTATCTGAGAAAATAGTCTTAACCGAAATGGTCTTCAACCTTTTCACGTCTAAGGACTGTTTTTCAATTATCTTGTGGTCGCTATTTTTCGGTTAATTTTCTAATGACATACAAACATGAAATTGTTTTTAATTTGAGACTTATGAATAAAATAACGCAAACTAGACTGCAGAAAATTCTTCAGAATAAAGTTAATACTGAAAAATACATTATTGATGCAGTTTTTGGTTTTATATATAGTAGTTAACATGGAATCTTTAAATTTACTTTGAGTTCTATTTCATAATTCCAATTTCCAATGTTTCATTTTTTTACAAATAGTTTTGAATTAAAATGCATAAAAGCGAGGGTGTCGGGGGACAATTACTCGAGTATTTTATCAATTTTACTACATAAATTGCTTTTCACTCAAAATTGTATTAGCAAAAATGCTTAATAAGAATGAGTTCTTTGGTTCTAAATACCTTCACTTCACGGAAATATTTGGCCTAACTTAATTTACCAGTTTGGCATAACTTTATTGCTTGAGTAATGAGTAAAAGACGAAAGATCTTCGTATTTATTTATTAATTATTGTTCATTGAACGGGAGTTGGTTTGTTCCCCTTGAAAAGTCAACTAATTTCCGATCAATGGCAATAATTACTTGCTTTTAATTTAATTTCTTTTTCCAATTCAAATTTTGTTATTCATGATTTAATTCAAGTCCCCGTAAAACCTTTTTAACAATTTACATTCAAGTTACTTTAAAACAATTTTCGGAATTAAACTTCCTACCTATGAGTTCACTCTTTTTAGATACTTCTACTAAAATTAATATTGGGAGATAATATAATCAATATTTCTATGTATAAGTATGTATAAATGGAACAAAATATAAAACAAGGTATAAAATATCAAAGAAAAATATCTTTAATATACAATGTTCATTAACATAAGTATATTTTATGTAATATCAATATAAATGATTAGTTTTGTTTCGTACATATATAATTAATTTTTATATTTTGTATTTTTTGTATTATCTTCAGCAATTGTATACGTATTTGAATTTCAATTTTACTTGTTCTCCGTTTGGGTTACGACTTTAAGTGAGAACGAATTGTTAGGGCTATCATAGGGATTAAATTATATACAATCAATTGAGATTTGATTTTTTCCTTTCTTTTAATAATTATATATATAATATACTATTTTATAAGTAAATATAAAATATAACAGTTTTTAAGCTACTTATTTATATATAGTATATTGTTTGGTCTGGTTTGTTTGATTATAGCAAAGCACTCGACGGCTATTTGCCTAAGGGTAAGGATGCCTTGGTGGAGAACTTTCTAAGCAAAACTGACTCGTATACACGTTACACATGGGGAAAACCACAGAAACGCCAGTATAGTCATCCCATTCACCGGGATTCGAACCCCGGATTAATCTATCAGTGTTCAACGACTTTACCGCGCAGCCGCTAGTAAGCCACACAGACACATCTACACATATACGTTAAATTATATTTGCATGTCGTTTATAAAGTGTAAGTGAGTGCAATTTAATCATGAAGAGTTATAAAATATTCTACGGAATTACGTCGCTTCGTAGACTTTTTTGTAAGCTTCATTATATTTCTTAAAGAAAATCTCAGTGGTAATTCCATTTCCAAGCTGTTTATGTACCTTATTTTTTCTGCTTTGAATTATATTTAGAGAATTATTTCGCCTGATTATAGCTGAAAATGCAGTTTTTTTAATGAGCAGTATGTTTCTGTGACAAGGCTATGAACAGTATATTTCTGTGGATTACATACCTTAAGACTTTGAGGATAAGAAGAGAATTCAGTCTTTTTCTAATTATTTTTGAAGCATTTAAATTTTTAAAAAAATTGCACATTAATACGGTCACTGAACTGCAGTGAGCTGTGAAAATTTTAACAAAGGTTTCGTATTTTATCCTATGAAAACAAAATATCAGAATCTAATTAAATGTTTCACTTATTAGAAAAATAAAAAATACAAATATTTGTAAATAAAAAGAAAATATCTTCAAAAAATAAAATTTAAATTAAAAAAATAAAAGAATTACAAAATATTGCAGAAATTACATAAAATAGCGAATAAACTTATTCGGCACAAACTCGCTAAATGTAAAACAGATCGTACAGTCAGAAAGCTCGCCTTGTCACAGAAATATACTGTTCATCGGGTTTAAAGGTTATTCAAACTAACGTACGAAGTTCAGTGAGTAACATGTATTTTCCTTTGAATGTATAAACTAGCCAAAAAAAAAGTGGGGAGCACTTGAAAATTAGATGCAAATTTAACAAATGGATTGAACAAACCCTCCTACAGCCTACCACCTTGTGTAAGCAATTTTGTGGATTTCCCTAAGGTATATAAATACGAGCCCATTTTCCCTAGAAAATTCTCCATGAAATCCTGCCTAGCCAACCCTCATATGTTTTGCCATATTCAATTACATAAGCACACAAAATCATTCTTAAGATGATTAAGTAGTTAATTTTTTGTTAGATGATATGAAGCTTTTCAAAAACTAGGATACTTTCCGTAAACTGTTAGCACTAATTAGCGCTGTTCAACTGGAATTGGATTGGATTATTTGTTTATAACAGTGCTTTTCAGCCTCGTGACTTACATGTACCTGTATGTATTGCTCAGAGGGGGGGGGAAGAAATTCCTGGACGAAAACAATGTAATAATGAAATGTTAATAAACAAATAAATATAATCATTAAATTCATTTGATAATTATAATTTAATTTGCAAGTTATAAAGAGCTGCATGTTATTTAATAATCCCCAAACGTGCATACTTAATATTATTAAACTGTTTAATAAATACATAAAAGAGCACTTCAAACCTTTTCGTATCCTATGTAATTTGTCTCCATTCTGATACCAAGTGCATCCTTGTTCACATTACTGACTTACAGTGAAGAACAGAGAACTCTAGCTCCATTCAAGTTTTTATTCCTGATATACTGATACTGAATGAGACCTAAAAAACTTTTAAAATATATCTCCACTTATGATCCCCGACACAGCCGTTTACTTTCCCTTTCCGTAATTAACGTCACTCTCTTTCTCTTGACCGCGTTTGCAAAGCCACCCCTCATTTGATATACAGTAGAACTCCAATTATCCGAATCAATTGGGAGCCGACCCCATTCGAATAATTGGATTTTTTTTCCGAAGAAAGGGTCTACGTAAACTTTAATTAGTTACTGTACGTATATATGTATGTTGAAAATGGGAAGGGAAAAAACCTATTTTTAAAGACAAAGAGGTTTTAATAAATTAAAATGAAAAGGTAACACTTTTACATACATGTTATATAGCGTACTGTACAATACTTATAAATGCTTAAAGTCATTGCTTGCTGAACATCTCGGTCAAAGTAAGCTGTTTGACCGTCTTCACCCGTTTCCGGGCAGTTGCGCATCCTTTGACAATGAGAAGTTGCATGGGGTCACACTCGGGCTGTCGCTCCATCCACTTCAACGCAGTTTCAAGGCCATCAAGCCCACCAGTGGCCGAGCGGTAAAGTCGCTGAACACTGGTAGTTCGGTCCGACGTTCGAATCCCGAGAACGGGCTGGCTGCATGGGTGTTTTCGTGGTTTTCCCCCTGTGTAACGTGTATACGAGCCAGTTTCCCTTAGAGAGTCCTCCACGAAGGCATCCCTCCCCTTAGGCAGATAGCCCTAGTGTGCTTTGCCATAATCAAATACACCATCAAGTCCATCAAACGCTTCACTAGCTGATGGTCCCGTTGTCTGCTTCAACTTCGACATTAAGGTCATGTTCTTCCTCGATACTTTCTTCTCTCACACTTTCAATACGTACATCATTATTTAGAATTTGAAACCCAGGGTCTGACGAATCACACACCATCCATTCTGCTGTATCCTGAGCACAAACTTCTGAACATACAGGAATTTTCACAAGAATGTTTCTAAATTCCTCAAGTGATACGTCATCCTCATCTACTCCTGTCTCTTCCCTTTTCTTTTCTTGAGCTTCTTTTTCCTTCTCTTCTTCAGTTGATTCTGAAAAATTCTAAAATTCTGAAAGAGATTCGGATAGTCGGAGTTCGGATAATTGAATTTGTACTGTACCTATATATAAGAAAACATTTTGTTTGAGTCTGAAGACCTTCAAGTGAAATGATGATAAGATTGTTGTTTGTGCAAAGAGATATGATAAGATGATGACATAAAATGTTTCTGCTTAGAACATCGAGCAGAGCTACCCAAGCAAATATGACTAACAATCACATCACGGGGAACAAATAGAAAACGGTTTGCTTTAATGTTCACGGATGACTCGAAGTTCACTGTACTTTCTTTCATACTGAATATTTTGTTCTGAAGAAATAAGGAATCATATTCATCTAATATGGCATTGGTAGAGATAGTAGTATTATTACTTTAACAGGTAGATATATTTTTTCTATTAAAATAATGCCCTTTTTTAGGTAGATAAACTGATAAATAATTTATCACAACAAAACACTCAATGACTGTTTGACTATGACTGCCTTAAAAGACGAATTTCTCGAAAAATGTTTTGCATACGAGAGAGGCGTAGTAAAAATACGTTTAAAGTCTTCTGCAGCCATAAATCGAATCTGAGCTAAACACACTTGTGATCTTATCGACTTGAGAGCTGACGGGTGGTAAAGGCAATTTTATTATGGAAATTAAAATTTACATATCATAGGTAAGGCCAATAATGACAAATTTAAGTTAATAAATTTATTTATTATCATGCCTTCATCATCTAACAAAATTATACGTTATATTTTAAAGGCATATTGCTAACTATTTGGGATGCAGAGTCGCTATGAGCCTCATGCTACACCTTCCGAAGAATTTTTCAGATGCTTTATATGAATATTACGGTGACCTCGGTTATACATTTCGAAGTCCAGAACGTTGGAAAACATGTACAAAGAGAGTGAGCTCATTCTTCAATGAAGTGACCGTATTTGCCTATGTTGACAAATACTTTCCAAAACATGTTAAAAATGAGGTCAGTGCCTTAATTGTATTCTTAAATCAAGAAAAATATTTACTTTGTATTCCTTTATTTTTCATCAATCAAATCTCAATTATCTTTTGTTGACAGTTTCAGACTTCTTGTAGGAAGTAACTTTTAACCATAAAACTGTTTCAGAAAAGGTAAAGTTTTAAAGCAATAATATTGTTTCAAGTGCTTCTAACTGTTAAAACTATAAATGTTAAACTATTAAAAATATTTTAAGTAAAGGTAGAAATTCAGTTACTCGAAAAATTACACATTAAAGAGTTTCTATTTTTATAATTTTATATTCATTAATACCTATGATCTTAATTCAAAAACCACTTTGAAAACCGTTAAAAAAATTATTAATAACAGGGAGTATTTTAAGGAAAATCTCTCATCTCTATAACCAATTTCAGATGTATCAAACAGACATGGAGAAGAACAATAAGTAATGGATAAGTATTACACTGGAACACGCTCATACGTTTCTCGTTTATACGTCTTTTACATTTATACGTCGTTTCATCTAGTCCCGTTTCAGACCAACTTATTTTAATAGTAAAATGTTTGTTTTATAAGTCGCGTAACTTCGGTTATACGTTATCAACTTTACTTGACTTAGTGCATTGGTATTACATTTCACAGTCCCATCGTTCAAGTATTTTTCCCAGAAACGGGAATAGGAGAACGAAACGAAAGTATGAGATATCACAGTATGGTACAGGAATTGAAAACCAGTTCATGAAAAGAGGAAATACGGTAGGAAGGAAAAAACAGATACGGTTTTTGTCTTTTGAATAGGACGCTTTGTTAAGTAAACTAGGTAGAGCAAAATTAGCTGACGCAAAATATCATAAAAGCGAAAGGCACTCTCGTTAAAAAATAAAAATTAAATCTTAAAAGAATTTGATGAGAATACTGGTTTGACGAAAGTTGAAAATTCTTGTGACAGCACTAAAAACTATTGTTTGTGATAGAAAAAAATTGACAATAGAGCAGAAATTTGGGGACTCAAAGAAATTACTTGTTCAAGGTAAAAAGTTTTTTGATGTCGAAACCATTTTGCTAAATTTTGCTGCTTTTTTTCTTTCAATATCGTGCATCCAATATTCCAGTGAATGGCCCCATGTTAATCGAGAGTCCAAAGAAATAGGCCATCGACTGAATATAAAGGAAACTTGCTTTTCAACTGGATAACTGTGTAAATTTAAACTGTGGCATGGAATCTCATGTCATATAATAAACAGTGAACCAAAAAATAGTTCATTCTGAGTCGACTGAAGAGTGGTTCAAGAATTTATCCACCATACTAGATAGACATGATTTAAAAGACATTTTTAATGTTGGTAAACTGCTTTTATCTTTTAATTTATGCCTGCAAGAGCCTTAGCTTTCGAAGGCGACCAATATTATGGAACTAAGTAGATAATCTCACTGTTTTTCTGCGTGCAAATGCTGATGGTACGGAAAAAAAAACTCCTTTAATTATAGTAAAGCCATAAAAACAAGGTTCTTCAAAACTATTAAAACTCTTCCATTGGAATATAAAGCAAATAAGAATGCATGGATGACTATTGACATTTTTACAGAATATCTCAAGAAAATAAACAAAACTATGAGGCGACAAAACCGCAATATTGTTCTTTTTATGGATCAATGTACAACTCAACTTCAAAAGACAGATATCTCGCAAAATGTAAAAATTGTTTTCTTCCCAGCAATTTGCATTAGTGCAGTACAGCCTTTAGACCTGGACGTCATTAAGAATTTGAAACTTTTCCACATGCAAAGTTTGATTCAAACGACCCTTCAAAATATAACTACAGGAAACACGCAGAAAAATCTAAATATTTCTGAGGCTTTGGATATGATTTCACTTGCCTGAACTCAAGTAAAACTACATACAACTTTTTCTATGTGTATTTGTATTTCCACTTCATTTGTTCTTTATTAAAAGTTTGATTTGCCGCTTTGTTCACTGACATTATCAGGCTGATTTTTATAATTTTTCTATTTTCATAATTTTGACAAAAGCAAAATAATTTTTTAATTTTTACTTTCAATATCATTACTTTATACACATTTTTGCTCAGCTTCTTTTGCCTATTAAGTTATAATTACTTTTACTTCACATTATTTATTAATCAAATCTGCAGTAATTTGCGCAGAATGATTTTTTTAAGTCCCTTTTACAAAATTTGTTGTAATTTAAATAATTATATATTATGTATTCATACTGCATGCGGAGTTTTATATTGTTCGTAGTGAAACTGAGATAGATGCATGCATAAGGATTATTAACTTAAATGCTCATTATAATTATTTTAGAATAAGCGTGCTCTTTAATGGACAAATACGGTTATTTATATTTTATTTCACATTTGTTTTATCCTAACTTATATGCTGGTTAAACTTTTCTTGTACAATGACGATGCATGCATTTCATATTGACATCTACTAAATAAATTAGCTGTTTCCTGTCTCATGTCTTTTCCTGTATGCCTAAAGATGAATGTCGATATGATTTTCAGGTTAATAAATTAGTACTAGACATAAGCTTCCAGTTTGAAAACATTCTTTTAAGTAATGATTGGATGGACAGCATAACAAAGAACGCAGCATTAAAAAAGGTGCGTATAAATCACTTTTCATTCTCAAAACCAAAGTGAATAAAATTACAATGAAAAGTATTATTTTTACAGAAAATGTAAACTTTTTTTTTTTTTTTTTTTTTTTTTTTTTTTTTTCCAAATTTGCGGTAATGTGATGTTAAGGGAAATGGAAGACGTTTCAAAGCATAAAAGGAAATAATTCATTATATCGCATTCATATATGTGGAATCTCTTCCATAATTTATTCATAATTATTGCCTTGGAGAGAACATTAACTTTTAATTGCCCCATACCAGATAATAATTATAGATATTATATTGCAAAATTATGTTTTAATTTAAATCTTGTTTTCTAATCTCAGATTTGTGGTTTTCATGATACGGGTCACTTCCGTAAAAGATAACTAGCCTAAGAAAAATAAACTTTTTATGCAAAGAAATTACAAAAATGAGTAAAAGATTAACTGTATTTTGCACCATTATGAAAATCAATTAAACATTCGATCGGAAAAAAAAAACATTTGAATACGTGCATTATAAGATAAAAGTTAAAATAAGACGAAACAACAATACGATACACGTGTTTGAGATGCCATAACGCAGAAGACTCTGGAAAGTAATAATTATCAAAATCAAACAACCTATAAAAAATATAGGGTATTTTTGTTTATATCAGACTACCAGTCCAGATGAAAACCTTTCATTTAGTTAAATGCTGATATATAGTTACATTGCCTTGCATCTTTCTTCTTTAGCAATATTTATCTCAACTTCGTGCAATTTAGCTCTCAATGGAAGTGGCTACTTTACCACTAGGTCAGGACTTTAATTCCGGATAAGGCCTTGGGTGTTTGGGTTCAACGTGTCTACGCTGAGTAGGAGAGCTTCAAGTGAAAACATCGTGGACGAAAAGGTAGCGGAGAAAACAATACAAGTGGAAAACTTCGTCGTACGAAACAAAAACAAAAAAAAAAAAAAAAAGCAAGGAGAAACATCGTGGTAGAAAATAAAGCAATGCAAAAACTTCGAAAGTTTTCAAATACCGTCCTACAAAATATCGTGGTAGAAAACAAACACCTACAAATCATCGCATGGTGCTAACATGCGTTTTCTGAGTGAAAAATGTTATTGAAATGATTAACAAGTAAAAGAAAAAATAAGCGATATTTTTTTACCTCTATGTTACCTGTTTTTGTATTAATTAACAATTTCTTTTATTACTGAAAAGGCAAAAAGGAAACTTAAATATGTAAAATCTGGAAATTAGTGATAATTAATGCAATAATATACCAGTTAAGAAAATTTTAAACTTATGTAGCTTCTTCTTCCTAATCGTTTTTAAACTGCTTTTTTCCGTGAAAATTTATTAATAAGTCTTCATTAAGGAGGTTAGCTAAATAATGTGCTCTAATATTTAACACATAAATTTAAAATTCTATTAATTACTATAAGTAGGATTAATTTTTAATAATTTCCAAATTTTTAATACTCATGTTTCCTTCTTGCTTTTTCAGTAAAAATTTTCACTTAACGCAAAAATATGAAATATAGAGATAAAAATACTGCTACGTTTTACGCTTATAAATTATTATCGCGAAAACTCACTTGAAATTTGCATGGTCATAGAACGCATGTTTGCGATGTTAGGGCCTTTATTTTTAGCACGATATTTTATACAACGATGTTTTAAAACAGCGATGTTTTTATATAATGAAAAGTTTACCAGGATATTTCAGAACTGCTATGTTTTCTCGGTGCTTTTTTTCTCTTTTTGAACTACGACTTTTCCCCCTCATCTTACTTTCTCCAGTACGTTTTATTCCTCGATTTTTTTTTTTTTTTTTTTTTTTTTTTTTTTTTTTTTTTCCCATAATGTTTCCTTTGGACACTGAATAGGGGCACATCAGTCTGGAAGGGCCTTTCTTTCATTGGTTTCAAAAGAAGAATGTTATATACCCTTTGAATAACTTATATGTAAAATACAATTCAGATATTTAGAGATCTATAGTGCATAATTACGCTTGAATAATCAATGCTTATTATCTAGATTAAAAGATTCTCGATTTATATATATTTAAACGAAAGTTTACATCAAATAGAAAGATGTAACAAAATTTTCTACATATACAGTTTTATAATTTCTGTAATTTTCTGCAAATTCTAGAATGTTTAAAAAGACAATATGTTTTCTAACTTAAATTTTTTAATGCAGTTGCGTGCGATGAAAGCTAATGTCGGATATCCTGATTGGATAGGCGACGAAAATAACATAAACGATGTCTACCTTAAGGTAATTATATTTTTATTAAATTATGCTATTTCATGGCCTATTTTATATTAGGGTGCATTTAAATACATTAATATAATGTTATTATATATGTTGATATTATTTTAATACATTAATATGTTATTATACATTATTTTAATATATTAATGTTATGTTATATTATATATTTTCATTCTAACGTTTACACTTCTCAATTACGCTTACAGTGTAATAATTTACTGTACATAATTTTTCTCATACTTGATAATACACCCTTCGCTTCAAAAGAAATGTAAGACGACACTGAAAATATTTATTTTCCCATATCCTGCTTGTGTTTAAACATACAACACGTAACGTAAAATTCTGTGTAGGAATTTGAAAAATTATGAAGCATGTTATTTGGAAAACCTCTGTTAGACCTATTTGGGAAAACACAGAAAAAATTATTCGTAAGAATATATTCAAGGACACGTTTTTCGTTTAGATTATACTACGCAGTTTTTAAATCCAAAACAAATGCATTCTACTCAGCTTGCTTTATGAAGTGAACTGGAATAGATTCATTATTAAGACCCAGTTCTAGGAAATGGATAATTTCGATCATCCTGATCTTGAGCTTTCAGAGCGTAACTTCGTTGAGGTTTATACTATAAGCACAGTAGGCTCGTATTTCCGTTACACATGGGGGAGGAACAAACAAATTACAAATTATTAGAGCCATACTTCGTGAAAATCTTCCTTGTTCTCGGAGACTGAACGGGTTTTTACATACCACCAGCCTACTCAGTGGCCAGAACTGGGCAACATAAGCAGTGTTTGTGGCTTTAATCACTCAAGCAATGTTAATTTTATAAGATGGAGCAAACAACGTGTCATGTTTGAAAACATAAGACCAATTCGTTCCTTGGATCTTTCTGTGAACACTTTTTTTCAGTTGTAGAATGTAAACTTTTTTTCAGTTGTGTGATCTCACACACACTTCGTGAATTTTTTTTTTTTTTTTACTCGAATGTGGCGTCGCACACAAGACGCTATATGCTTAAGGAGAGCCTTTTTAAACTGGCTTGTATTCACGTTATACATGAGAAAATCCGCGAAAACAGCCATCCAGCCAGAATTTTCGAATCCCAGTAAATTTATTAACGCTCTGGGGTTCGACAGCTTCAAGGCTAGTGAATTTTAAATTGTGTCTGAAGCGCTTAATATGAAATACAGCGCTATTTATTAACTGTTTCCTGTAAAAGCAGTGAATGCTCACCTGCCAGCAAAATCGGCAGGACTCTCATAATTCGGTCAAGATTCGGTTCGGCTGCTTGAAAGGCATAGAAGTTTCATGTTTCTATCCAATGTTGAATTTAAATATAACACAGTTTTCCTTAAATAGTACTTCAAAAGGACATTGTAGGCTTTCCCTTAGTTCACTAACCAGTTATTTATTTATTTATTTATTTATTTATATATATATATATATATATATATATATATATATATTTTTTTTTTTTTTTTTTTTTTTTTTTTTTTTTTTTTTTAAATTCTCGATTTCGTTTCGCATTTCCTCGCCAGGATACAAATTAAACGGGTGAAAGAAAGTGTTGAAACGAGTGAAAGAAATAGTTTAGAAAGTGAGCGTTACTGTAAGCTCTAATTCTTGAATGAGCTTGATTTCGCTAGTATAGCGCACGTTTGCTATTTTATCCTCAAGCTGTTAACTTAGTAGCGGCTACGCATTCTGGCCATTTAGTTAGTCTATCGCTGGTGTAGGTTGCCGAGTCAGCCTGTTAGGTTAAATTAAATTGTGAAATCTAGCTTTACTTCTTACCTTTCGAAATTATTGTTAAATTTACATTTAAGTTCTCACCGCAAGTAGTCGGTGTTTTTGTGAGCACGAAGTCCGTGCCTTTTTTGTTAAAGAATTGTGAGAAACAAAAGGGCTATTTACACCCTTTCTCTATTGTATCCATTTTCACGCCTGTGCGAGACGCCGCCAGGTCGCGCTCTGGTATCTAAACACTTTGTATGATAGCAAAAAAGGTTAGATCTTATAACGTATTAACACATAGTCTGTACATATTATCCTTTAACCTAATTCAATCTAACTCGCAGTTGAATCCCATTAAACCCTTTCTATTTCTATTTTTTTAATTATTCAACAATTTTACGATATGAAGAGTGCAAATGACAAAAGTTACCGCATTAAAACTTGATATGACTCCCTGTGTAAAAAAAATTCTAAAACTCAACATTAAGTTTTAATTAGGGTTTGACGACAAACGTGACTGTTAAAGCATGTAAGGATTATGTTAATTTTATTAACAGTTAAATTTTAAGTTAAAGTTCCTTTCCTGTCAAATTCTTAACTTCAACTTACTACTTCCGGCCAGAACGTAGTTTTGGAATCTTGCTGAATATTTAATGAGGAGGAGCGGTATTTAAACCACGAAGTTACTTACTGAGTCAGAGAGAATCAGAGTTTCTGATTTACGCGCGTCTGCCTTTTTGGCCACTCTCTCTCAAAGCTGTTATTACGCTCGGCCGTATTCAGGCCCTTGCTAAGCTTCGTAGTCAAATAAGTTAAGGGGCCAACTCGATTTGAACCTTGATAGCTCGGCTATACTTCTTTAGTTAATCTTAGTTTTAGTTTAATTTTTAGTCTTTTAAGTTCAAGTCCAAGTACGGGCTTTGCTTGTACACTCCCAGGCGGAGTCTTGTTAAATCTTATTGGAATAATAAAGGGTTAGTTACCCTTCTATCTTGTTGTTTCTTGTCACCGAACTCAAGCGATTATTCGCTTATCAGTTCTTAGATTCTTCACTTCCAACATTAACTTAGAATTCCAAAGTGAGGAACTCTACAAGCAGAACCCACTGAAACCAAAATTTAGCATTTTTCTGCGATGCTGAATGTGGAACAAACTAATCAAAAACCTAAATATTCGAAAATCAGCCTGACCTAGTCCTTTAGTGTTTCGTCAAAATTAATTTAGCAAACGTTAATTGAGTTAAAATCATTCCATGCTTTTATTGTCTCCCTGATGTGAAATAATAAGCCTACACTGACAAATACACACTAAATTCTGAGACTAATGTTCAGTGTCTTAAATTATTCTGTGCCAATGATAAAATTTTAATTTTAATATAGTTCCCTTACCAAAGGAACTAATTTAGAACTGAATCATAATTAAATTCTTAAACTCTAATGAAAATTTCCTGCTATTTAAATAATACAATCATTCTTCATTTTTAAAAGCCTAAAGTGTTTGTAATAAAAAAAATATCATTTAAATTAAGACGATGACTCTTTACCTTTAAAGGAAAATATGCCTACTATGGACGATAACGTGTTCGAGAATGATGTAAAATTGGTAGAACACAAGGTCATGCAGCTGATTAAAACTCTGAGACTAAAACTAGAAGAAGAAGAGTACGTAAGCATTCTTACTAAAGTTCAGATTCTTACTAGTTCTTCAGATATTTAATCATCAGATTAGTGCATTATAGATCATAATTATTGTCACAGTTTAGGAAGATTATAATTACTTTGTAAATTTAACTGCTAGTTCAGTTATTTATTATTATTGCAACTGCTAGTTCAGTTATTTAACTTTTAACCCTATTTAAATCATAATAATTAATTTTTAGAGTGTTAGAGGAAAAAAAAACTCGTGAGTATAAGCAGAAGTTTACTTAGCAAACCAATTTATCATTATTGAAAGAAAATTAATAAAAACTTTCTAGATCGTTTATGTAAATGGTAGTGCATTTATTAATAATTTTAAGATTTTCTAATACACAATTAAAACAGATAAGAAGAAATTATTGCACAATGAGAATGAATAAAAAATCTGCGTGAAAAAATATGCATTTCACATTTGATAAGGAATTAAAAGAAATAATAAATGTTACATCATTTTTTGGTCTTTTAATTTTTTAATGGTTTATTTTAGAGAAACAAATAAGACTTTGTGAATATTTTCACATTGACTACATCTTAAAATCAAAAGTTATCTTCAGAAAGTAGTAAGACGTCGTAGCATCATTCTTGAGTATTAGAATTCAGTTCTTAGAATGAGTAGTCTGGCCGATTCATGGATTTTCATTACATGGATCTCAGTCCCCTAAAATTTCGTATCCGTTATAATAAATCGATTAGTTACAACCTATAGGCTATAAAATACCCAAATAAATTACTCCAGATCATGTCTGGAAATGAGAAAAACAGTCCTTTCCATATTGTTAAAAGTGGTAGCTTTCTGTAGACAAACACTAGCATTTCCTCTTATGCTGAACAAAAGATAAGCATTCAAGATAAACAGAAAGAAGTAACTGAAGAGCGCATCATTGTTTCATTCCGCTGTAATGCAAGTGGAGAAAACTAAAGCTTCTTGTTAATGGAAATGCTTCTAGTTCCTGTGCTCTTAGAAACAAGATGAAAATAAAATAGCTTTCAATCTTTTCCTGCTAAGCTCCAGAAACATCGAAAAAGCTTTTCTGGATAGTTATGTTCGTGGATAAAAGGGCATACACTTACCAATTTATTCTTTGCTCGATATGCTTGTTTGAGATAAATTCTTAGTTACTACATGTATCAGGAAAATTATTTTTATGAACTGCGAATTTATTTCTTTGATAAATGCTCGATATGCTTGTTTGAGATTCATGCTTAGTTACTACATGCATCAGGAAAATTATTACTATGAATTGCGAACTAACGTAAAAGTTTATAGCATTTACGAGAATCCGAAAAATGAGTTAATTAAAAAATGACCTTATTTTAAGTTATAGTTAAACAATTTTTAATTCATTTTAAAGTAAAATAAATATGAAACAGTTAAAATAAATGTCTGCCTTATTGCGGTAATAGAAAATTTATTAAGAATGAAAATCAACCATTTTTATTTTATACAGAACAAAACTTCGTAAATTAAATGTGTTCATTTAGATAAATATCACTCAGGTGCATTTTAGTTGTGAAAAATATATTTTAGTTATATATTTTGCACAACTAAATGATTTCTAATAAATTAAATAAATTACAGAAATGAACTCATTTCTGTAATTTTGCTTCTGTAAGTCGAAGCGTAACTCAGAGAATAAAGATCAATCCACATAAATCCATGCTCAAGTCTATATACACACATTATCAGTACACGGATAACAATCACATAAGATTAATTCTTTCATCTATACATTTTACAGAACTGTGTTTTATATAATTATTTCAGGTTGTTTAATACATAGTAATCCACAGTTTTTGTTGCTTTGAATGATTTCGTGAATTTGGATCTCAACATTAGTATAATGATTCATAATGATTCATTTCATTTATTTATTTAGCAAGTGGGTTTTTTTTTTTTTTTTTTTTTTTTTTTTTTTTTTTTTTTTTTTTTAATTTTAGGTGGCCAATATCTCCAATAGAAATTAACGCTGGATACAACAGAAATCTTAATGCTGTCAGTAAGTATCTCTACAGTACCTAGTAGGTTCAAAAGCGTTCGACAAGTCTCATATTATATATTGGCTTGTAGCATACTGCAGTTAGGTGACTTTTTATATTAAGCATTTCTAAATTTAACAGCTGCCACAAAGAGTAACGCGTGCAGCTTCTGGATATCGACTTTTATCATGGATGGATGTCTACTGTCTAAATGAATTCCTTTGTCCATCATTTAGAATTACCTTGATTCTACTTCAAAAGTTAGTAAATTAAGACCTCAAACTTCCCGTGAAACACTATGAAATAATATTTCCTATACAAGTTTTGCATTGGATGGCGATTGCTTCAATACATTAATACAACGGTGAAATATCCGCCCTTAAGCTATATTTGCCTCATGTGAAATCATAACGTTTAATAACATATGCTACCATATTCAGTATTTATGATCGAGGTAATAATGTTTCAAAGAAGTTTTTTCCTTCCTTAACTGCCTATCTTCGTAGTACGGTTGAAAAGACGTCCGGCTATCTTCGGGAGGTTCGGAGTTCGAATTCCATGGGTTGGACAGTGTTGCTTTTCATTGTTCGATAAATATCTTATCGCTGTAAAACATTTTTTTTTTTTTTTTTCATAACACGATACAGATCTTCCTCTTTGTCGTTGATTAGTTATATAAAAGCTAAATCTACTTTATCAAAAATCAAAAAGAGGGATTTTTAAAACATTTTTAATTTAATTTCCTTGCAGCTAGGCAGTTTAATCACATGTCCTCTAAATTCATCATTTTCGTGTATTATAGGTGACATATAATATATGTGAAAATGCAAACACTAAACACGCACCTTTTTTTTTTTTTTTTTTTTTTTTTTCTTTGCATGTATTTTGATAATGATCATAATGATCTGTTTGGGAGAAGAAAAATGATTTTCTTTCAAGTACCCCTCTAATCCTCATCTTACAGCTATTAACTTCGTTTTCAAGACTTATCTTTTTCTATGATAGTGCGTACGTCCACGTGACTTACAATTAGTTCGACATATAATCTTTACCTTAAATAGAAAGAAAATATTTAAAAATTAAAATGCCAGATTTGGCATTGTACATGCTTTTTAAACTATATAAGGTCTATAATAATTCACACTTAACAGATTAAATTTTGTTGCTCAGATCCAGAACCCCTTTTTTTTAATTTCTTAATGCGTCTAGTTTCTTTTATATGGATATTAATGTAAACATAATTTTAAGAATCCTCATGAATCAAAGCTTAAGAGTCTCAATTATTCTACTTAGTGAATTCTAATAAAGCAAATTTATTCACAGTCACTTTATTTTCTAAAGTTGTCAAAAATTGTAATGAAAGAGTAACAAAATTTAATATTTAAATAACATTTAAAGCAAACAGCGTTAGGATATTTGTGTTAAATAACAAGCTTACTCAGGGTAATATTTCTCAAAATGTACAGTGAAAATCGTTTTAACACGAAACTGAGGGGATTGAAGTATTTTTCGTGTTAAAAGAATTTCATGTTAAAGGATATTGAAAAGAAAAACATATATTCAAAAAATTAAGTTTATTAGAGTACATTTTATTTACATAGGTATGTATATATGCATGTATTTAATAAAAATCAATGATACAAAATCATCTACAAGAACTTAATTTAATACAAAATTTTAAAGCTTTTTGAAAAATAAAACATTTATTGAGTTTTTGGAAAATAATCTGATATTTTTCTTTGTATTGTCTTTTTTACCATCAAATTATTAACAAATTGTTCCGTGTTGTCCATTTTGTTATTCATTTCACCATTGGAATGTGCGTCTAAATAATTGCGTATACTTTTTATGATGTTCCTCATTTCGGATGACGTGGGAACAGGAGCTGCATTACTCATTTCATTTTCTTCTGCATTCGGAATCTGCATTAATGATATTTTTTTTAGCTTTGAACAAACTCCAAAATGACTTTGTCTACCATAATTGGAGTTGTACACACATTATCATCAACTACTGCAGCGAATTCTTCCTATAATACAGTAGGGCAGTCCATTAATACAGAAACTTTCTCAAACATTTCATTAAGTGTCGGCTCAGTTTCAATACCCTCCTTCTCCATTTCTTTTGGCGCCAAAGAATCTGATACTTTTGAGAATCAATACGAAAACAATTTTTATTCATCCTTGGAGTCGCTGAATTCCATGCAAAGTGCAACATTTGAAGAGACAGAAACATGCAGAGTGCAACATATGAACCAAACTCACAGCTTTTTCTCACACTGCGATGTGAGATTGCGATATGATTGCCCACATCCGTAAAATATGTCTCTATAATTATTTTAAAGTGTCTCTCAAAAAGATCAACTGATCAGTGAAAGGTTAGGGATCAAGAAGACAGACAAGAGCTTTATGTTTCAAAGATGATGCAGTATTGCCAGTAATTTTATAATAATATCACAATACATTTAGACAAAATGTAGCCGATAATTTGAGCTTATTATATACAGAATGGATTCACATTTCGCATTTTTGCTCCAAACTACATTATTCCTAGTATACATAATGCTGGGAAAAGTATAAATAATAAAAATATCCTTTAATCCCCCCTAACAAAATACGATAGCAATCCACTTCAAAATGAAGAGTATAAATTTATGGAAAAGCTAACAAATCATTTTCAAATAGTATTCGATGATTAATTTGATATTCATATTCTATTATGCTATTAATTATAGCAAAGAACCCTTAAAAGATCATATTCTTGACAACTGACTACATTTATGTAATACATAAAAATGGACTAAAGTACTTAGCCTCCTCCAGAAAGCACAGAACTGTAGTACAGCACCAATTTTCGTAAAAGCGAAATTCGGATAATTGGGCAGGCAGTGTAAAATTTATTCCATATCTGCACTGGATAGTTTTAAGAGCCATTAGGAATAGTAACATCCGCCACCTTCCCCATTTTAAAATGCATTTTTATAAAAACAAGGTTTAATTCATTATATTTTTAATCATCAATAAAGAATTTTGGAATCAATAAAGAACTTTTCTTCTTAAGAAATACCTCCGAAATGCGACCATATTGATTGCGAAAATGCGACTTTATCCTCAACGTTCTTAAACATAAAAATCGAAATGAATCAAGATCTCTATCCCGCTTCAACCACTTTATCAGCTGCATCGAATATGCTGAAGATGAGATTTGCTGGGTTAAACAATACTATATTCATTTTTCTCGACAGATCATAGTATTTCATCATTTGTAAAATTCGATATCCAAGAACTTTTAAATCGGTTTTTAACAGCTCATTAATTTTTATTTCATCATAATTTAGATTTCTTCTGGTCCCCGTCATTCATTGTAAGATAGGTTTTTGCAGTACCATTATCACTACTTATGTCGCATCATAACTTATCCAATTGCTCCAATTTATGATCAGGCATCGATACTGAAGAATTCGGTTAAATTGACAGCCGGTATTTGGTAATCTGCTGCAAATAGAATAATTTATTTAACTAAAAGCAAATGAAAATAATAAAGTACAATCAGTTGTACACTGGAGGTTTTCATTTTTGTTAGTAAATGAAAAATGCATCTAAGACAATGAAATTATCTTCAATAAAAATCTATTTTCATTTCTATCTGTATTATTAATGGGACGAAATGAATGATGAATAGTCGACATGCTAAAGGCTCTGAACACTGGTAGACTGGTCTTCAAAATAAAGAAGATTTTCTCATTTTGTCTATTATCTCAACAGGACAGATTTTAATGAAGTTTGGCATGGATATAAGTAGGTATAACATGTAAAAACGCGCGTAAGTCTCACCGGCGCAGGAATGTCTAAAACAGAGATTGGATGGTCGAACGAAAAAAAAGGTTAATAAAACATATGGCCTTTAACAGTCGTACAACCCTTTTAACTTCACTTCATGCACAAAATAAGGCATTTTATGAATCTTTGTGGCACAGTAGGTCCCATTTCTGCATCTATGTTCTTTACAGGTTCCAGAAGCTTCTGGGAGGGAAAGGACGATTAGCAATTGTGCTCCCAAAAGCGTCCCAGGTATGTTCCATAAGATTTAAGTCTGGCAAGCTGATTGGCCAATCCATCCCTCTAGTATCTTCAATTTCCCGAAAATCATCCACCAGCTTAGCCCTATGCATGTGACCGTAGGAATCCGTATAAATAATATATAATATCCATATAAATAACAGCCGTATAAACTTTTTTTTGGTATTATATCAGTTCGCATCCATAACAAATTTCATTAAAATCAATTGATCAATTCTGGAGATAATCGAACAAATACGAAAAGTCTCTTACTTTTTAAGACTAGTGTAATTCATTCCAAGGTCTAATAACTGAAGGGATTGGCTACTGGCTGTTTTCATACTTTTCCTCATGTGCAATCTGGAATGCGAGCTAGTTTCCCTTTAACATTTCTACACAAAATTATCCTTTCTATGATAACATACTTTTACTTATTTATGTCTGCCAAATAAGCAAACTCAATATTTAATTTTTTTCCGTATCTCATCTTTCGAGATTTCTTAATGAGAATTCATTAAAGCATTTCAAATCAAAATAAGTGAAGAGACACATCACAAGTTGTCTTAACAAATATATGAATTCCAGTAAACCTTGCAGCATTATTTGTATAATTAATCAATAAGTAACACAATTTCTATTTAGGTAGTATCTTATTCAGTATTTATGATTTACTCAAAGTATTCCTTATATTATATTTCATAAATAGTGCTGGACATACTAATATTCCACCCAGGATTCCAATGGAGGATTTACAAAATAGAAGGCTCCTGTCACCTGAAAATTTGGGGGCTTCCATCTTGAAAACTCTTCATTACTTTTTGAAAGTAAATGAATTACTTGGGGCTTCTGGGCAGTGGGAACCTGGCAGTTGTGACTTACGCAGCCTCACAGGTTTAGATGGTTTATTTTGTGGGGATTTATTTAATTTACTTAACAGTTATTTTATGCTGAAGTAGCTTTCTCATCGCTCTTGCTTTCAACTCACACTTTCTTATCAGAATGCAAATTCACTACCGCACGTCTACTCAGATGAGGTAGAAAGAAGTTAGTATTTAAGGGAAGGCTTGGAAGATGAACTCAGAGCGCGTTCTGTCTGTCTGAAGGTCACGTTGCTAAATTTTCGATCTCTAGTGATTAGATTTCGGTGGCGTGGAGCTATTCTTGCCATTAGGTTTGTTTACGCCAACTTTGACCTTGGTGACACTTCTTTAAATAGTTTTCTAATGTCGAGCTCAGTTTATGATACCCAAGTATAAAAGACGTTATAATTTGAATATGCCAAAACACTCGAGAGCTATCTGCCTAAGGAGAAGAATGCCTTCCTGGAAGACATTCTGAGGAAAACTGGCTCATATACACGTTACATATAGGAAAAACCTCGAAAACGCCCACGCAACCTACCCTTTTGTTGAGATTCAAGCCCTAGATCGAACTACCTGTGTTCAGCGACTTTACCGCTCGGCCGCTGGTGGACCTCGCAATCTTTTAAATCCGTCTCTGGGAGTATTTGTCAATAACATTACACCTTATTGAGAGGTACGAGATCCTCGTATTTCTCTCCCTTTCATTCAAAACTGAGATGGTTCTTAAACAGGTAGCTTTTGTGTGTTTTACCTAAATTAAATAAACAGTAATAATACATTATCAGTAATGCTACTAAAGCACTTTAATTTTATGCCTGAATTTCCGAGCATGAATGTTCGAACTTTCTTCATATTTATTCTTGATTTTAAAAAAATAATAATAACTTTCAATTAATGTATTTGCATACTAATACCATTCGCGTTTATGCATACTAATACCTGTCAATTTGCAATCATTTCAGCTTTTCCTGCCGCATTTCTACAACTGCCGTTATATGACAGTTCTTTACCTCCGTGAGTATTTTTTCATAAATATATTCCATCAAGTACGGGTTTAAAAATTATTACGTATATGAAAAATATCTTATCTCATTAAACCATTTTAGCTTAAGAAATGAGCAATGCATCGTGCGTAAACATATAATGCACCTATAATAGTGTGTATATACTCAATATAAATGTATAAACTCAATATAACTTCTTTAAACGATTTCCTACAATTTATTTCCTCAGAGATGCTCTATCGGATTCAGGTCTGGGGATTGAGCTGGCCATTCCATCCGCTCCATACCGTAACCCTTAAGATATTCTTCAGCAACCCGTGCTCGGTGCGGTCACGCATTGTCGTCCATCAGAAGTCTAGGACCATTAGCAGCGGTATATAGGAGGACATATTGATCAAGGATCTCGTCTCGATATCTCACACTAGTCAAAGTTCCTCCATGGAGCACATGCAGGTCAGTGTGACTACCGAGAGAGATCCCAGCCCAAACCATTATTCCACTACCTCTGTAACTGTGTCTTTTCACAATGTAACATTGATTATATCTGGTGCGTTGTTCCCTCCAGATCAGCTGACTACCTGAGTCACTCTCCATTGTGAATCTGGACTCGTCTGTGAGGAAAACAGACACCCATTGTTGACTGGTCCAGGAGACGTGTTCTCTTGCCCAACATAAACGATAACCTCTGTGGCCTCGGGTCAAGGGGACACAAACAACAGGTCGTCTTGCAAACAGACCTGTATTGTACAGACGTCTGCGCACTGTAATATCTGAGATTCTTGTTCCTGTTGCCACTAAATGATCTGCCAGAAGCTGAAGCACAGTAATGTTACTCTTCCTTCGGGTCGAAAGAGTTAAATAACGGTCTCCTGCAGGTGCTGTAACTCTAGATCTTTCTGTAACATGTCTTCTAGACACAGACTCCCCAGATTCAAACTAATTCCATAGTAGGTAGACCACACTGCGAGAGACATTGAGACGTATAGCAGCATCAGCTCGTGACATCCTCATTTCCATCCATCCGATCGCCCGCCACAACGAATCGGGAAAACGACTTCTGGACATTGATAGACTCTCCTGGATATTGTCCACGAAACTGTAATAATAACTGAAGATCGACACTCGTCAACAAAAATTACAATTTTCGCATTTTTTTCTCCAACTCCTATATAAGTATTCATTTCTATAAAATAAAAGTAATAGCTATTTTTTTTCATATAGTTTCTTAAATTTCGTTACTGTGATACATATGAACTCTGAATTTAAACGTTACTGACATTTTTGTAATGGTGAGCTTTGAAAAACATGCTGTTCCTTAACTTTCGGAAGGCAGTGTATAAGACATTCCTCGAACTGCACGTCTTTGGAGGAATTTTGATAAGGTAGCGGCTGTTTCCTTTACACATACAGAAAGCAAACGAGAAGAAAAACACTCCACTTTAAAATTTAAAATGAGGCATAAAGCAATCTTATTTAAATCTACGCCAAACTAAGGTTGCTTTTTAGCCTAATTTTAGATATAGAAAAAGTCATGAAAATCACTGTCGATTAAAAAAAGTGGAAAAAACTGCCAGTGTTCAGCATTTTTGTCTCGGTCTCTAATGAGTACACAAAAATATTCAGTAAGAATAATTTACAGAGATTTCTCTCATTGATTAGGGCACCTGTTATTCTTGTTAAATAAAATCTTCTGTTTATGTATTAGCTAAAATATTTCTTATTCATAATAATAATTGGGGTTATAAGCAATATTACGTTATTAAATACAGAAAATGCTGTTATACGTAAAGACACAACAACATCAAAATTATTTTATAAGGGTACTTTACATTGGATGTACACTGCGGAAAAAAAAAGTGAGGACAGTTCTATATCTCCCGTTCTACTGGGCCGATTGATGAAACTCAAATTGTGTTCTTCATGTCTCGAAACCGCTACTTAGGATATATATTAGAGCAGTGGCGTATCGAGAGGGGGGCAAGGGGGTGTATGATGCCTCGGGCGCCGCTCTCAGAGGGGCCCCAAATGGTCTCCAAACAATATTTTCCGGAAAATTTCAGTTTTTATTTTGATCGATTTCTGGAAAATATATTTAAAATTAATAATTATTGTAATCTAATTAATTATTTATTTTCTCGATTTGTCTGATAAAATGTGTAATCAAAGGTTTGCAGTACATCAACCAAATATCTTCGCATACAAAATCTTCTGACCACTTTATTTCTCTGAAAATAGAGATATAGTTTTTATTTTTTTTAAAAACGTAATGCACGGATAGCTTCCGCTTTTTGTTTTAAAACGATAACACGACATTGTTCCGAATTTCTCAAACATATCCAATTTTTAAAAACCGATTTCATAATCTGGAAATGACATTTTGGGAAACTCCTAAAGCTTCCGCTAGAATGGATTGTGTTTGACTCTCCTATAACCGACTGATGGCCTTCCTGGTTACCGATTAGTCATCTTGCTGAAACATCGTATATTCACTGCTCCAAAGCATTCAAAGCGTGTCAATTTTTTTAATCTCCTACAAAAGGAATGCTGCATGTCGCTCTTTACTCCTTATCTAAAACGCACAGTTTTCATCGTCACAGACTAAATTTGCACATTTCCAACTTCGTAAACGTTATAATTTTCCTTTATAATCTCTTCCATTTCCTTTTGTTAAAAAGGTTGCCGATTATATGGTTATTTTATACCATAATAATATCCCCTAATTGTTTTGAGCAGGGAATGTGACTGCAAAATATTACTCCGCAGTAGAAAAAACACTAAATCTAAAACTCTATTACAGTTATTACTACTTATTACTACCTATTACAGTTATTATCTATTACAGTTACTCTATTACAGGTGAAAACGTTTTCCAAACCTAAGAGACGCATTTCAAATATTCCTTACTATTTCATTATCAAATTCTATCTAAGAACGTTCGTTCAAAAAATTAAAGTAAATTTTGACATATTTGTAATCAACGATGGGACAAGATCCCCTAAGTCATCTAGTATTTTTTAAATGTGGAAAGAGAAAAATTTGAAAGGATCGACTAGGATGAAGTAATTGATAAATTTGCTTCATCCAATGGCAAGAAAAATGTATACATAGTAATTAATTGTATTAATGTATTATTATATTATTACTAATAAATATATCTACTTATCTATAATATATATTAAACATTTAATTATTTAAAAATTGTACTTTTTAAAAACAATTATATAAATATGTAAAATAGATAATACATTTTTAACTAATTCTAGATCATCGTATGTCTGATTTTTCCTCCGACACATATATTTCCGATTCCAATGCTAGTGCAGTTAGGTAGTGACTATTCTTAATAACATTATTACGAAATGTACAGATGCGGTAAGATGGCTTCTCCGAAAAGCAGTTTAGGGTTGCAAAGTTTTAGGGTTGCCATAAATAGCATGGAAAGTAGGGTTGCCACTTTTGGCGAAAAATCGCCCATTTGGCGACAAAATTGGCGACATGCCAAGGTCGGATGGAGAACCTTCTGGAACGAATTCTTACCGGTTTAGCCCAGAATGTTCTCGAACACAAGCCGAAAGCTATATAAATCCTGCTGGTCCGCAGTCAGTTAGTCGCCGCTCAAGGAAATGAAAAATCCAATTCAAGACCTATAAGATCCAGCGTCCCACAAGGAAGTATTCTCGGTCCAGTGATCCATCCAGATCTTTTCTACATATCAGATTTTCCTCGCCCTGGTTTGGACAATTACTCTCTGTTAGCATGTTATGCCGACGATACGGCAATTGCATTTAAATCCATCCAAGCTAATCATGCAATAGACAAAATGCAAAATTACCTCTATTCCGTAGAAGACTGGTGCACAAATTGGCGCGTAAAAATCAATGCTAGCAAGTCACAACTTTTAATTCTTAGCAAAACTAAGAAAAACATTGCATTTTTAAAGATCTCTACCTTTTTCAAGGAAGCTGTTCCTCTTGGTCCACAAAAGCCAAATACTGTAGGAATTATTTTGAACCAAAGGCTCACATGGTCTAACCACATTAATAAGTGTCAAGAGCAAAGCCATGGGCATAATGTGCAGATTTCTCCATGGTCATTGGTAAAATATTCAAATCTTAGCTTGCGTTACCAAAAAACATAAATTATACCACTTGCATTCGACCGAATACTTTGTTATGCTGCTCCTGCTTGGAACACGGTCACTCAAACTCAGCTGTCATCAATTGCAAGCAGTGCAAAACAAATTTCTCCGCATTATTACTGATTCACACTATCTTATCCGTACAATAAACTTTTACACAGAGACTTTAAAACTTGAGACGATTCCAGATTACATCCGAAGATCTAATGAAAAATTCTTGAACAAAGCTGTGCAATGTGACTTTGTTAATTACTCCCAAGTCTTTAATTATAAAATTCTCTTTCGAAGATAGAAGCATCTGACCACTTGCAGCTCACACCTTCATGGGAGGAGACGACAATTTTTTCACTTAGCTCCTCAATTGGTAGCTGTTTATACTTCCAATGCATCTGATTTTGATTGAAGTTCTTCTATAGCTTGAATATTATTCTTGGAGATTAATAAAACTAATGCTGTGGGATTTTTCGCATTGTGATGATATAGTAGTGTTGTAAATAGGTTGCTTAGGTTGTTGAGTTGCTGTAGTGTATTGCGTTGAATAGTTGTATTAAAATTGTGTTGTATAGTTGTATTGTATTGTGTTGTATTTAGCACTATTGATTGAGGTTATTTAGTTGTATTTGAATTTGTCATTGGAACTAGTGCTGTAGTGTATCTTCTCATATTGTTGTCATTGATTTGCATTGTCTTGGGTCCTCCTTGAAAGCTATGATCGCTCGTCACATTTCGCGAACTTGTCCGATTGGATTGTCTTGCTCCTTTTAGTACTTCTCTTCTTCCCCTTTTCTCCGTTTTCTCATCTGAGATTTTCTCCACGTCCGGATTTCTTTATGTGAAGTGCCCTTGAGCTTTAATTCTTGAACCGGCAACAT